CAACAAACCTTTGAAAATGCACATGATTATTTTATGTGTAAACCACATATAATACAAAGCAATAAATTTCAAAAGGATTTATTATTGATTAGTAATGCTGGTTTTCAGTATTTTTTAATTACACTGTATATAAGATTTTATAGTCAATTTCACATGTAAATCTTATTTGTATTTTTTTAAATCATAGTTTCATGGTTTTAATTTTTTATGTGGACAACATGGTCGTGGAAATCGTGCGCAATAAATGTGTGCACTATAATGATTTTTATACGCCCTCATTTTTATGTGGACGTATATTGTCGTGGCCCTGTCCGTCCATCCACAATTTTTATCTCGCTCCTTGTACGCAAATAGTGTAAAAGTATGTAATACAAAGTTTGTGGACCCTCTAGAGGTTACAATTTTTATCCGATTTAAAAAACCGTTTAAATATATCACCGTTACACCATTATGATGGTTGAATTCGAATTTCGTGAAAATCGGACCCAAACTGCCGGACAAGATGGACGTTCCCTGTACGCAAATAGTGTTAAAGTATGTAATATCAAGGTTGTGGACCATCTAGAAGTCACCATTTTTATCCAATTTTGATGAAACTTAAAATATATCTTTATAACCCAAATTTCTTAGTCCATTTTATATATCAAAGATCTCAGTTCCTTTGGATATTGGCGTATAACGGACCGTAACTTCTTGGATTATGGCCTCTGATTTTATGAAAAAACCGCGATTTTAGCTTGTTGGCCCTCTAAATCGTTTAAATATCGTTACACCCTGAAGGTCATTTCGTAAAAATCAGACCGTAACCGCCCGTCAAAACGGCCGCTCCTTGAACTCAAATTGTGTAAAAGATGTACTACCAATGTTGTGGACCTGCTAGAAGACACAGTTTTTATCAGATTTAAAAAAAAACCGTTCGACATAATGGCCGCTCCTTGTACGTAAATTGTATACAAGTGTGTAATACGAAGGTTGTAGACCTTCTAGATGTCACAATTTTTGTCCGATTTTGATAAAACTTAAAATATATCTTTATATCCCAAAGAGATCTCAGTCCCTTTCGATATTCGCGCATTTCAGATCATAACTTCTTTGATTATTGCCCCTGATTTTACGAAAAATCGGGTTTTTATTTTTATCTTGTTTTCTGTCCATCTCTTGCAAAATGTAGGCGTACCTTGCCTGGCAACCACTGGTTAGACATAGTACCTAGTTTTCGATACTCTTTTAAATTGTCTGTGCGTTGAAAGTTTATTTCTGGGCCATCCTGTTAACCTTTGAATCATTTTGATTTGTCCATGCCCCAAAAAGTTTTCCATACATATAAAATCTTTAATTTACTATTGTTCAAGCTGGTAAATAGCTATAAATTCTAATCCAAACCTCGTCCTATATTGATATCAGTTAGTCAGAAAAATGAAATGAAATGATGTTTACCGGCCTTCTCTTATGAACCAACCGGGTTATGAGTACGAGGAAATTTTGCCCGAACAGCGGAGTTTCCACCTACACTTCCTCTATATACCTTTGGTTCTTTGACCAGGGGAGCCACGGTGTCTCGTTGAGTTAGCTTGGCTGGCTAATCTGGAGGTTCCGCGTTCATTGAGATTTTCCGGCATGGTTCCCCCTTGTCAGTGGCACGGGGTGGAGGGCGTGGCAAGGGCCAACGTATTCGAAATAAGAGTAGGCCGTATAGCGCCTCCAAAATTTCCCTCTTAGCACACTGTTCGACGTAAACAGAACAGTAGGACGTTAAACCCCATTAATTTCATTCCGTTTACCAGCACGCCAAAATGTACATGTGGTATCTGTTTTTGTCGTACCCGAACAACTAAACGCTATTCCTTGCCAGGGTCCAAGCCTGCACCAATACCCGGATCACAATAGAAAAAAAATAAATACCATTCGGTTTTCTTATATAAGTATCTGTTTAAACAACGCTTTTCTTTTTTAAATTCTAAAAGAAATGTTATTAGGATAATTCCGGTAAACATACAGTTTAATCATTATTGATTAATTTGTATACATTCTACTATCAATCAATGTATTAAGGTAGATCAAGGGTGTGTATATATATATATCTAGTGAATAATGGTTAAAATATGCTAGACACGTGGCATAGGTAAAATGGCAAATTATTTTGGAGAAAAGTGGTATTGAAGTGTTGAGCAGATATTACAGCTTCTAATCTATATTATGTTAATAAAGAAAGTGGTCTTAAGTCATTCTGTTGCCAGTAAGTAAAGAAACAGCTGGTCTCACGTCTTTGTTGTCTTTTATTTCACCAAGTAAAATATCAATACTTCACCATATTAGAATGTGACAGGTGTTACTATAATATACCATAGCCGCATTTTATATCACATATATTTATGGTAGAATATATTAACCATAGCTATAGTTCAATAAAACATGGGCCACGGCTAGAATAAAGAACAAGTCAAATATTCATTAACCCCGGTAAAAAATTAAAAATAAAATGCAATTCCTGAATTAAAAGTCACCGAAGACCAAAGCAATATATATTATATGTCTTCTGGAAAGTATGATAAATACCACGAATTCATTCTAATTCTGGCTTCCCAACAAATTACTTCCATAACTAGAATATCTCAAGCTCTGTCACTTGTCCAACTGAAGGCTGGCACCCTATTATTTATTGGATTTCGAAACCATTACTGTTAGCAGTAATTGTAAAAAAATAACGATATGACTAGTTTATTTATAGGGCTACCGGAATAAATTATAATTATCGCTTTAATTTGTAAGAAAAGAATTAATAAAAACAAGGTAATCCACAGACTATCATCTATTTTTTTCGCTTTCTCTTATTTATTGACAGTCAATTCTTTTTATGAATTTTCAGATTCGAACAGATATCCTCTCACAGTCTCATATAACAACGTTTCGTCTTTAAAGGAATTATCAGTGAGCTGAAAATCGACTGTATATCTATTATCGCTCCTCGCTGCTTCAATCAGTTATATACATGTATAAGGAAAACTCGTGTTTGCGTCACATCCCGTTTCTTCAAATCATCATTACGCATCTACCCTAGCAATGATCTCTGCGCTAAAATTATATTTGGAATGTGTTTAACCAGTTCACGGGTGTCGATGCTAGGCGGGCAGAACCCGAAATGCCCGAAAACATTTGTGGTTACAGAAGGAGGCGTCAGTCTTTTGCGGGAGGCGAGGGAGTGGAGCTTACCGTGCAGTAGCGGATTATCAGTGAGGCTGATGAGGCTGCAGCCTCAGGCCCAAAGATTTTGTAAAAAAAATTTTTTTAGACTTGTCTGATACGATTAAAAACGCATAGACAATAAATGTTAGGGGGGTTGGGTTTAGGCCCAACGGGAATCAACATAGGCCCTGACCCGAAATTAATTAGGCCCACGCCATTTTAAATAGGCCTTATTTAAAAACTAAATAGGCCCTCCAGCAACTGCCGCCTCAGGCCTTGGTGGAGCTTAATCCGCCACTGTTACCGTGTAGGCATCCCCCAAGATAATTTGGAAAATTTGAAGGTCGCAAACGCGTTTTCCTGCTATTCCAGCCCGTGAATACAGCAACTTCAAAGTGGTCTAATTGTGCTTGATAACGATAAGAGGATACTTGTCGAAACGTCGTGCTATTAGAATAAAACCAGTGATTGTTTCCCATAAAAATTGTGTTCTGTTATGGTCTAATATAGCCTATAATTTAGGTGGCTGACTCGAATTCCAATCAACGAATCAAACGTTTACAGTGCACGGAATCCCTGTCCCCCTGAATCGTACGCCTATGCATAACACTGATCAACAGTGAATATTTACTCGGTCGCTACGACTTTCGTAGTACTCTGTGAAACAAATTGCTATCATATAATCTAATATTGGCGGACACACTGTTCTTTAAAAACTGTAGGCCATATTTGAACATAATTTCCCCTTTGCCCGTTGCTTTTTATGGTATAAGTTTAGTGTAAACTCATGCTACTACATAAAACTTTGCGTTGGTATATTTACTTTAGAAAGTATACAATTGATAATCGGGTGGAAAAGATTGAGCCGGAACATCCTCGCGTCAACGTGCAGTAAGTTGCCATGATACGGTTTAAGGGGAGATTAATCTATTTCATAATCTGGACTCAGACTATTAATTTACTGCATATTGACTTCACTGTTAAATCCATGTCATTTCTTGGCCTTTATGATACATTTACTTCCTGATCCATCCAACCCCAAATCATGACCATTGACCAAAACATGGCAGAAAATGTTCAAAATCGATGTACCCGTAGATGTTTTTTTAGGTGAATGCCTTGACTGATTTGATAATGAGCAATTTCTGCTTAGGATAAGCAATTTGATTGGTTGATGCCTTGGGGCACGATAACTTTATTCTAATTAAGTTACAGTGATGGAACTTGGCCATGTTTCATTACATTAATACCTGGACTAAGTTATTAAGGAGCATTAACTAATCGGACCATGCATAGTTATAAGCAATTTGATTGGTTGGGAATAGGGCTTGATAACTTGAATCCTATTTGAATCAGAAAGGAATAACATTGGGGTGAGTTAATTAAGCTCAGAATATTAACTTCTTATCTTCTGCAAATTGGAGCCACGGTGGCTAGGATGCTGGCTCGCTAGCCTGGAAGTCGGGTGTTCGATCCCTGCATTGGCCGAGAAAGTTCATCTGGATTTTCCGACGTGGTTTCCACTTGTCAGTGGTGCAGAAAGGAGGGCCTGTCAAGAACAGCCGTCTAGTCCTTTGGAAGATACGAAAAACCGAGGCCCCGTGTATACATTGGAATGCACGTAAAAGATCCCTTGGCAGTTGGAATTCGATATAAGAGTAGGCGATAGTGCCGCTGCCCGGGCAAAATTTCCCTCATAGCACACTGTATGGCGTATGCCCGTCTTCATTAGCCCAGTATAGGAGCAGAACAGTAGGACGTTAAACCCCATTTCATTTCATTTCATTTCTTCTGCAAATTAAATTATAAAACAAATGTGTTGGAAGTATATCTGTATTAAAAATATTTCCTATTTAGTACATAAAATAGTACACGAAGGCGTAAATTGGGTAAAAGGCACCATTCTGTCTGGATCAGTTTGTGTTACTATGTCAGATGTAAACAATGCACGTGTGATCAACGTCGTATGATGTGACGTCAAACTTAGACCTATAATGTGCATGAACTTATAAAGGTCAGTCATCTTATACAGATTGTCTAATCAGGGGAGAGACATACATTTCAAACTAATTAAAGATATGGTTTCATGGACTTCAGTTGCAAAAACTAAAACTAATATTATATATATATAAAAACGTTTATATATTAAAGTATTATATACATGTTATGAGTGACCTATATATATAGAGAGAGAGAGAGACTATACAATAATGTACAATTTACTATGAATATATTTACACAGTGAAATGCCTAAAACGGTGATCACCAATTATTTTAACAGAGTAATAAATAATAAATAATGATGTTAATTTTGCTGGAGGGATGTTTTGTCATTGCTATGATCATTATGATGATATCTTCTTCTAGCACATCACTGAAATAACAAAATATCAAATATTATTACTTACATACAGTCGCTAATTTCATTTCTAAATATTCTATGTGTAGAAAAACAATTCTATTACATTTTGAGAATTCTATTACATGCTTGTAGGATCTCCAGAAAACAAAATAGAGTAAACGGGATACTACTGTTTGTACACATGACATTTTGGAAACTACTATCTATTAATTACAATATTACTTTCAAATTTAAATGTATAGTTACATAATATTAAAACTTTTGCCAAGACAGCATTTGTAGCAGCAAATTGTTAATTTATAATGGCTAAACCTCTTTGATTTGGGTCAAACATAAAATTGTCAATTTCATCGGATTGCACAGTAAGTCAAAAATGAAACTTAGTATACAATCCAACCTCAACTTAATCTTACGAAATACAACTTTAATCATATAGATCGTATCACATTAGTTAGGACAACTAATTAAGTATTTTTTTAACTCACATCAAAGAGGTTTACCTCCTTTAAGTTTAAGTGTAACACTTGAAGTAGTTAAAATTGTTTAAATAGAAAGGGGAAATAATAAGCATAGTAATGTTATATCTAGATATATTAATATTAAGACAAGGAAGTTGAATAAGAAGTATGCATAAAACTGCACCCTGTACAAATAAAATGTAGTAAATTTTGTTTAAACTATAGAACACACTGTTAAATAAATAAGTAAAATAATTAATTTAAAGCAAGACTGAAGAGTGATAAAGCAATACTAAAAGAAAACTATAAATATATACTATGTTTGTTATGAAAAACAAAAGGCAGATTAACAGAAAGGCATAACTGATGATTAAAAAACCCTCTATGTATACAGGGAATATAATGTCATATAAGCTTAAATAAAGATTGATATAACTGGCTAAGGGTGCACAGAGCACTAGGCATACTGCCACTAAATACTACATTTGGGTGCACAGAGCACTAGGCATACTGCCAGCTATGTAAACGGAAAAGTGCCACTAATGGGCAAGTGCCTCTGCAAAGTACAGTTACATGCACTATTATGCGATAATCTACTAATAATATTACTAAATGTGATGTTACAGCTAGGCCTACCTGTCTTTTATATTAATTACACATAGCTAAACCTGATATAATTAAATTTAAAATCATCCATTATAACTCAACGTATATTGGTGTACAAGAACATTTTGTTGGGTGGAGGAGAAAACATAAAATGAATTATCTCCCCTTGTGTACACACACTGTACAAAACTTGAATAATTGTAATGAATATCTTTACATTGTGAAATGTTAAATGTGAAAATTACTATGACATTTTATGCTGTGACTGTAATTCATCCAACAAGAGATTGAGTCTCCGGTCAGTTAATCAAAACGAAAATTCAAATGAGGAAAACACGCTATTCTTATTCTAGTCACTTTGTATTATTATGTACACTAAATCGTCAAGTTCAACATTTCTAATACGCAATGCAGGCTGCATCTGTTCTCAGATCATTGATTTACGGATCATGACTACAAGAAACAGATTTTAAAGAGCTTGCATCAGCTCAAATCAGATTTGATTGCTATAAATAATATATGTTATGTTTCTTTTGGCATTAATTATTATATTATTAATTATTCTATATGTCAACAATTTGTATATCACAGTGTACATTAATGTCTGTTTGAGAGAAAATGATCACTATAATATAACCTTTAAAGGTGTATGTCAAAGATGTGTTGTATTTTAACGTAGGTGCATTATAATCACATTATAACCTATTCCATGTTACATGCAATTATTATCAAACATTTTAGATATCTTTAAACCAGCGGTTGAAAGCCAAGATACGCCCACATTTTGCAGAAATGGATTAAGAACAAGCTAAAAAGATAAAAGCGATTTTTCATACAATCAGGGGCCATAATCCATGAAGTTATGTTTTGAAATGCATGAATATCAAAATGGACGGAGATATTTGGGATATAAAGAATCCGACCGGGAATATGCCCAATCGGACATCAAGACATGGTGAATAATATTCAAATTCCAAAATTAATATAGTGTTCTGAGTGTATAACTACCGTGCAACCCGATTATCGTTGATAATAGGCTGGATTGATTAGGTAATTAAGTGATCGACTATTTATCGTGTTATGTAGTCTACACACCTTCCTTGATTAACTACTATTCTGCCTTGATTGGCTGACTTAATCCTTTGTCGGACAATTCATTAAATCAATCCTGAACAGATGTCATTGCTTCTCTGTTGTCGGACGATATATCAATCCAATAAGAGTGATTATAAACTTAATCTGATTAACCTGTGTCCATTGTCTTACGTTTTAATCTCCTTTGTGTCGGACAATAACACGTAGAAATTAGTCATATATGTCACATATCCTGATAGTATATAACACCTCAAATCAACATACATTGTATCCGATAACTTGTCTGTGATATATTTTCGGTGGAAGCCGAAGTTAAATAAAGATATTTCACACACACGCATATGGCGCTATAGTTCAGTAATTAAAATGAAAGCACAAATCTTGCGAGACACGTGAAATTAAGAAGTGTATACGTGCCGAATCCAATATGACTGATGTCCGGGAAAAGATTCTATTTTGATGGTATATTGTCGGATTTTTGATCATATTTTGAATGGGGTTTATGTCTTTAAATAAATAAATAAATAAATAAACATGCTAAGAAATGTTGACGAATATTTCGATTGGAATGACGTAAGTAGGTAATTGTTTTAGACGATAGCGCGTGCTACAGTCGAATGCAATTATTTAGCAGTTGGTGTCGCACGCTCGTTGTATTAGAGCATCGTTAACTACGGTTTACGGCCAAATAAATTTCGGGATGTCATTTTTTTACCTTCCGTATATAAATCGAAACGGAGTATCAGACGAATGTCAGACTTTGCTGAAAAATGTACCAACGTATGACCATAAAAATACGGTAATTTTGGGGAGTTTGAAACAGATCGGCAGCAGTCGGCACGCTGCCATTCTATAGTATTGATGTCATGTAATTTTGTAGGAATATTATTGACATAAATTTGAATACCGTATGGGTTTTAAACATGAAATATAACGAGGTGCACCTATTTTTTTTTACATATGAATTTGAATATATTTTGTTGACACGTGATTCTTTATTGTGTTTTGAAAACGTCTGCTTAAATTACGATAAGAGTTATGCCCCTTTATTTTCGGGAAAAAATGTCCGACAATAATTTTTTTGAAATCCCATCACTGATAAAGATATATTTGAAGTTTCATCAAAATCGGAAAAAAATTGTGACTTCTAGAGAGACCACAAACCTGGTATTACATATTTTTACACTAACCAGGGGCCATAATCCATGAAGTTTTAATCCGATACATGCTAATAACGAAAGGAAACAAGATCTTTTGGAGATAAACCTATATTTTAAGCTTCGTCGAAATCAGATAAGAATTGCGACCTTGGCTGTAGATTGTCCACAAATAAATTGTGGATGGATGGACAGGGGCGACGACAATATACGTCCACATGAAAATGTGGGCGTATAAAAATGCAAATTCTTACTTTAAATGGCTTAGGATGTATACTAGATTCACTGCGTACACTATTTATAGATCTACTGGACATTAACGATGTACTACTCATTCTACTGCTTGTACTTGCTTTAGATGATCGACCTAAAATATACATAACAACACATTAATTATATAACACAGGATACAGAAGCATTATTTCTATACAATATTTATATTTTTAATCAGTATCAAATGAAATGAATTTTACAGTTGGGTTGAATACTCCACAAAAGCTCTGAGGCAGACAAATGTGACTGATATTGTGGTTCAAAAATTCTTCATCAATGTTTTATTATACTTGAATGTGCTTAGACGTGAACAATTACATATATTAAAATAATACACATTTTTTAAATTTGAGATATGTGTAAATAATTTGTTTTTTTCTGCTTTATCAAAGTTATTTGGTTATGCTTTTTAAGAGGTCAAGCAATACAAAATTTCCAAACTATATTGTGTTAAAACCATACTTTCAATGTCTATGGTATATGAAATGCGAAGAGCATTGATAAGCCATACAATACAAATAAGCAAGCCATAAATCTCTTGAAATCTATTTTAACCTAAATGATCAATATCAGGGAGTGAATGACAAATATAAACTTTACACAATAAATGAAAAAAAAAAATTCCCCAAAATATTAAGACCGGATCAATGTTTATGGTCATCTAAAATTCACACTATTTTTTTTTTGTAATTGTCTAAAGTAAAATATACAATAAAGAATACTTTTAACCCTTAATTTTATTCTAAAAGCCAGAACTCAGTTACCATTGGAAATCATAGTGCGTTGCCATTCTTCAAAACATAATTTTCCGTTAGAATTAACTAAGGCTTCAGTTTAAAATAATTCCTACATCATGCAAATCACTTAAATTACAAATTTTCAAATCGAAACACATGCATTAACTTGATACTCAGAACTACTTCCTGTATGATATATTAGATTAACTTTATTAAGTAAGGAATATATATATATGGGAAGCTAAACAGAACAACCAGTAACAATTACACATCTTAGCTCATGCATTTATATGTTGGTAGAGACAACAAATAAAACCAGATATATTATAAAGCTAGCCATGCGATCACAATCAAAATATACATGAAAACATTGACATATATAACCTGTCTGCAGTCTTGAATATCGACCTCTGGCTACAAGTAAGCATTATCATAGGTAGCTATCAAATTACATTTTGAACACTCAGTTTGACAAAGTTAAATTAGAACTGCTATAATTCTTATCTTGAATTCTTTCTTAAATCCATAAGAGTGATGGATTAGTTGCAATAATATCCTGTTGTAAGAGAAATTTAATTCCAGGTTGATTATTAGTCTACTCACCACTATCAGTTGGAGGAGAGTCTAAATATATAGATAGATTGTCTAAATCATCTTGTGTAAAATGAGCTTGGCTAGCTGGAAGTATTTGCTTTGGAGCCTTTTTTTCTGTGACAGTAACTGGTGGTGTTCCAGTAATAAGACCTTCTGGGAAATATTTATACGCCACTTTTAACCCTGAAAAATACATAAATTTAATAAAATAATATCGCTTTGATGCTTGATCGGACTTCCCAATTCCCAAACTTATAGCTATGTTATCTACAGACATGTGAGCAGTAGCATCCAATCAGAGGTTGCGACATCACGACCTCCACGGAAACCTTGACATTGAATGAACCTTGAACTCTGCAACTCGATTATCACGGGTAGACATTTTAGCTTGAAAGCGCGAGACTTGGTATTCTGATAGGCTCACAAGTTGGGCTTGCACCCAATCGAAATTAGTGCCGCAATATGCAGGGTATTACTTGAAGGCCTTGATAAGATGTACGTAGTTAAAGCAAGATCAAGCCTTCTATTGAAGGTGTCTTTTCAGCAATTTAAACTGATTCCGAAAAACTTTGCGGATATGAACGGCATATCGGATCTGTACAAATTTCAAGGTTTAGTTTCACCATTGGGACATGTTTTTGCATTGGCTGAACTATAAAGTTTCCAATATTTGCAACTTTGAAACCACCATGTATTTAATAAATATTTCTGTAAATTTTTTAAACATCAAAAAGGCCTCCTGTGTTCTTAAATATTTCCATAAATTTTTTAAGTATCAAAAAGTCTACCAGTGTACATAAAGGACTAAAACCAGGTTTAGATGTTTATCTTGTAGAGAATGTCATCCATTAAATATTAAGAGTTTACACCCTTTACAGATAATTACACAAGACTTACCCCCTGATAACATAAATATATTATCATATCCTCTCTGTACTAATGTTGTAACGGCTCGAGGTGCTATCTTCTCATCTTCATCATATATTATAATTATTTTACCTTCTTGATTTTTCTAGGTGTTAATTAAGGCTTTTAAAACATTTATAATAATCTTCCAATGATGTTAAAATCACAAAGTAAGGAATCAAGTAACGTTACATCTCATTCTCAGTTTTTTAAGATTTTATAAAAAGGATACATATGTTAACATATCTTTACTTTCATAATTAACTGATCTAGCTAACATTGCTGTAGGATAATTTTTAGCTGAAAAAAACAATTTCAATAAAATTCATTAAAAAAAATATATGTCATTCTGATTCCATTTTTCAAAATTAAAACTGATTCAAATATATTGCCATTAACATCATTATTCCATTTTTCAAAATCAGAACTGATTCAAAATGGAAGAATGATGTAAACGGCGATATATAGCAAATTATGACGGCCAAAGAATTTTCAAAATTCTGCTAAAAAAATAATTATAGAAATAAACTCACTTCTTACGAAACATAAAAAATACAAAAAAGCCTGTTACCAAAATACTTACTACAAGCTACATAGAAAAAGACGATTGAAATAAGAATTTTAATTAAATATTAACCTGATATAATATGACAAGCATTAAAGGCGTCCATATCTCGAACATCTAATAATAGATATGGAGTGGAATCATCTACAAATACAGTTTTAGGTGGCTGGGGTGGAGCATCCACATCTATTTCACCAACACCCTTTATAACTCTGACAAAATAAATAATAAAAACAATTATTAAAGATGTAAATTAAGCTAAATAGATGTAGGAGCTTTGATGATGGTATTGACTATGATTAATTATGATACTAAATTCTGTTGTTGTCAAAAGTCTGATCTAATTTCATGCAGACCCAAAGAGGACAACACAGACACTTCTCCTAACAGGATTTAGCTTTTTCGTCAATGTGCTGCAATATTTATGTGTTTCTATTTATTTATGTGTTGAACTGTTCTCATGCATTTACTACTGGATCGGTCAAAATTTAGACAATATCAAAAATTCATAGTTATTCCTATTCCTGATTATTAACACTGAGTTCTTTAAGATTTCAATACAAATAGACCAAACTAGATGGGTGAACAGTCTAACAAAAACACAGCTAATAATATGATTTTAATAATTTCCTTGGTTTCAGCAAATAATTAATTGAATTTAAAAAAAAAATCTCTTTATTTACCAGAATAATCAAACTAAAAAGACTTTTCAGAATCAAATACTGTAGATACATTGATGCAATGGTTAGAAATGACCTATATCTATGAGTGCTCTAAGGTTTTAAACATTTTAATCAAAAGCTACCCTTATATTGTGCTTGCTTCTACTGATCACAGTGACTATTCTAATATCTAGGCATAAAAATAGATACAACCAGAATGATTAGGTTACTCATGTCCAAATTATAATTCTCTGTCTCTGTCTGGAGAAAGGTGATCTTGGAGCAATACTTTGATGTATATTGCAAGTACTTACTGTTCAAGCCTAGATCGACTTGTATCCAGTACAGAGCTATTAGATGGTACTGGTGTCTCTGAGGTGTTATCATTTTGATTAGATGTTAATTTCTCTAATTCACTGTCTCCTGTGAATGTTCTATCTGTACCGTCACCATTTCCTAATAAAATAAACAAACAAAACCATATTTAAAACATTTCACTAAAAACTTATTGAGAAAAGATAAATTATGGCTTTAACAAATTATTATAAATATCCTCAATATGAACAATAAAAGAAAACAATATATTATTTACCAGTAGGTGTGTCATGTATGAAAGACTCAAAATCTGCAACTTGTATAAGCTGAAAAAAATATATTTGTTTCAAATGTTTTATTTAGGTAACAATGTAGAAACATAAATACAATCAGAATGAAGGAATATGTTGAATCTTTTTTAAGTCTTGTTTAGGATAGCTGACTTTTTGTTTCTTTTAAAGCGTTTTTTTAGTCATTTGTTTAAAATATTTTAAAATAAAGCCCCAAATCACATAGAATCTATACACAGTCCTCCCTTGTTAAAGAATAATCATATAACTCACTATTTAGTTTATTTGAGAAATTGGCAAATATATCATTTTCAAGTTGAAGCATCAACATTCAACTTTTCCAATTTGACAAAAAACAACAGGGAGTTAATTTTGCTATTATTTCCCAAATTAGTATTATTTTAAGTGCTAGAATGATTCAGTTCATTGTATAATAGTAATTTGACAACCTTTTAAGCAATAGATATAGAAATCATTATGTTCTGGCTTTCTTCTAAAATATGAAATTATTGCTATTAATTTTTGTGGGTGGATACCAGTATAAAGCCAGTTGACATTAATACTGGTACAGTATCCTAGCTCTCTATGAAATATGTATTGTTTAATGGTCGAGAGCGAGACATTAAGTAATATATTGTAACAACAAGAGGGCCGTGAGGCCCAAGTGTTTTTACAATATATTACGCAATGTCTTAAGCTCGAGACCATTAAACAAGTTAAAATACAGACACTTGCATGTACTTTGCAATGAAATATGTCACTCAGGTTCAATATTTTAACTAGTTACACTTGGCACATTGCCCGTACGATTATTTGAAATAATGGTACGCGAACATCAAAGGATGACGTCACATCTACATTTTAAATGGATTTAATGTTCTATCATGACTATACGGTTAATGTAATGTTGCATAAGTTACGTATACGGTACCGTACACATACTTATTTTCTGGATCATATACTATAGCCAGTGATTGGAAAATATATTCAAACTACCAAGAAAAATATATTTTTTACCAAAAAAAAATATTATTTCTTGCAAGATATTTCAAGCCAATTACATTCTAAATAATACAAATTTTAATACAGGAGTAAGAATGAGTAAAATGTCATTCTAATTGTAAGACAAGGGGTGGATGAGCATGTCACTCTGCTATAGGAGACAACAGAAGCTGATCATAATAATAATTCAATTATTTAAGTTTTTGTAGATTTGTTACATAATCTTAGCTTTAAATTTGCTTTTTACTGGTTATTAGAAATATCATACTTTCAGATGAAAATAAAGATGAACTTCTTATCCTCAAGGGAACATATCTTTAAAAAGACATTTTACCAGTGCAGCAGAATAACATCTGCTCTACACATTGTAGGAAAAAGTTTATTATCAGGTCAAATTGAACATTTTCCCTGTCAGATATAACAGAAAAACTTTGTAAATGAAATGGTCTATATGACTGTGCTTACCAACTGTACATATGTGGAAACTTTCATTCTTTTGTAAATTTCATCTTTTCTGAATTTATAATCTGAAAATAGCATATATCACACAATAATATGTAATATAAAAGCAATAAAGCGGTAACTATGAAAATGAAAATATCATGTTTTATGCACACAAACATTTTATTTCTTGCTTTAAGTTAGGCGAAATAAATTTCCAGCATTTCATTTGCAGTCACAAGAATTGATTTTCAAGAATATTATTTAATGGTAACTCAGCGAATAGTTGTGTTGCTTAGGTTACAATACCAACACACCAAAAATTATATTGTATTTCATTTAATAAATGAATTTATAAATCCTGGATCTCATGCAGTTAAACTTTGGTATTTCCAGGTCTTAATTAGAAGATTACATGTCACAGTCTCATGATTTATAACTGTCAGTTATACATGTATAAGCTTATGTATAATTTGATATTGATTTTATCTTTTAAAAGAAATGATATTATTTTCTATTCATGTTCAAAACAGTTGCTATACAACTAGAATACTATTGATTATTTTACTATCATCCACCATCAGTGGAATTGAAGTATGTCAACCACCAGTAATTTTCAAACTAAAATAAATGCTTTTAATCATTCATACCATGGAGAGAGAGAGAGAAATGGGGTTTGACGTCCACTCGACACAAACTAGGTCATTTCGGGACTAACACATGGTTTAATTTTATTTCAATAATTCGCTTGCGCGTAGGGGTCTTTAGCAGTGGGAGGAAACCGGAGGACCCAGGGAAAACCCATGAGGTTGGACAGGCGACCCTACGCCTTGCCACGTACAACCGGGGATTCGAAACCTTGCCAGTTGACTCAATGACAGACTTTATGGTACAGCGCGCACATGCTAACCATTCAGCCAGCCAACCCCCCCTTCATACCATGGACAAAAAGGTATAACTGTATACGCTTATTTTCCAAGTATTTTAGAATGTGAAAAATATGTGAAAACAACTTAAACGGGCATTATGTAAGAGCTAAATCTGCCTATTGCAGGCCTTTCTATTGGCCTTAAATGTTACATAAATTATTAATTAGACATTTATTAACATGACAAGACCATCATCAACTCGAATTTAAGTAAATTAGAGCGGTTCAGCAGCATTCAGCCATTTAATGATTTAATTTAAAAATAGAGAAGCAAGGCTAAGACTCCAATGACCAGTATAGTGGTTATGATCAATACACACATCTTGTCAAAACTACAACCATTGATAACTTCGCTCACAAAATAAATTAATTTGAATGAAATTTTCAATATATTCATTTTGCATTATGTATTTTTGAAATATTATAGCGAGAACAGCTAGCTCTTTATCTAAACTACATAATACCTCTCTAACAAATTTAGCAACAAACTTTCCATTAGGATATGGATTTGCATCCCGATGAAACTCATATAGACAGTCTTGCATCCAAATTATGGACGGAGGGGCTGACAAGGAAAGCTGTCTAGTCGTTCGGATGGTACGAAAAACCGAGGTCCCGTGTACACATTGGCGTGCACGTAAAAGATCCCTTGGCAGTTGGAATTCGATATAAGAGTAGGCCGTAGTGCCGCTGTCCGGGCAAAATTTCCCTCATAGCACACTGTATGGCGTATGCCCGTCTTCATTAGCCCTGGTTAGGAGCAGAACAGTAGGACGTTAAACTCCATTTCATTTCATTTCATTTCCAAATTATAAAAAAAAATTATTCATACACTTACCTCTCTTTAATTCCTCTAACTTTGCTAAATATTTTGTCTGGCTGAAACCTGAAGATGTAAACATGGACTTTTAAAAATATAAATTTCATTATAATAATTAGAATTTTACTCAAATAAATCAAGCTTGTCAATAGATTAATCAAGTTGGGTGATATTAAAAAGTTAATGTTGATCCGAATGTATAGATTAAAAAGTAACTTCAATGACTGATCAAGGAACCAAACCATGATTGTGTTTTTGACAATATTACTGCAGACTTGACCAGTTTGCTTTTTTAACAACAGTAAGCTACAGCTTAATTGGCAACTCAGAGCATTGCCAAACCACATACATATATACTGGAAGACAATCCAAAATCAGATACATTAGTTATAGGCCTATTATACATAATTATTTTAATGAGATGTACGTAACTGGCCCTGGTTTAACATATACTACGGTACTATAATAAGCTTCAGTATATTATTCTAACTTTTTCAAAGATTCCAATTTCTTCTCCCTTGAAAAAATTAGAATCTTCAGTCATTTATTGCTTTGCCTTTAGATAGAATCTAATTTTTCCCCCTGCTACATTTTGTCTGTCTTCATATTGCCGAGGTTCTTAAATTTGTGCGCTGCCCTATATTTAGACTTTAATGGCTGCTGCCAAGCTATTTAAAAGGAGGGGACATATTTTTAACAGCATGCTGTATCGGTACTGACTCTAGCAAGGTAAGAAAGGTCTTATTTTCTCACTAAAATGTTCCTTTACATTGTAAAGACGTTCACAGGGACTGACACATGACCGTTTAGCAGTAAAAGGTTGTCCAGTAAAATTTACTGGGGACTCAAAATTTTTCGACAAGGAGTCAATAGGCCTGTCCCTGAACGTACAAGGTACGGACAAGTGTAACAAGCTAAACTAAATTAATATCAGCTAAAACTACATAATTCTTGCCAGTTGTGCACAACTTTTTTTGCCTCTAACCTAAAGAGCCAGGTAATTTTTCTCAGTGCACAGGTGTAGTATTTTCTATAACATATATAGTCTATAGACCTACTAGAAATTTTGGTACTATTTCAGTAACGTACCTCTACCAGTTCCTGTGATCGTAGAGACTTGAAATTTTCAGGGGGTATTCATGGGTCCTAGCCATGACCTCACACCAAATTTCAGCCGAATCTGTCAATAACTTTTTATTTTACCGTAGTTTAGCTTATAACGAGAAAGTTTATCCGATTTTGACGCCATTTTGTTTGTTGGCTATTTAGACTCGAATAACAAGACAGGGTTAGGGTTAGGGCTAGCCCTGTCTACATCTTGAGACTATGACGAAATCTACAGGTCCTAGCCCTTACCCTAACCCTTATCCTAACCCACAATCCACATATGACGTCATTCGAGCCTAAATAGTCAACAAACAAAATGGCGTCAAAATCGGATAAATTTATCTCTTATAGAAGCTAAACTACGGTAAAATAAACAGTTATTGACCGATTCGGCTGAAATTACGTGTGAGGTCATGGCTAGTCCCTGTGAACACCCCCTGAAAATTTCAAGTCTCTACGATCACAGGAACTGGTAGAGGTACGTTACTGAAATAGTACCGAAATTTTAGTACCTTTATGATGTCACTATAGGAAGTAGTAAAAGTAGCATGCATATATATATGTATAATACAATATACATACATGTACGTTATGCCTGACTTTTGTGATTTCGATCCATGCATCATATTCATCATTCCAACATGTATAACAAATGTTCTTTAGCATACATTCCTTCTCGGGTTATTGGCTAGTGATGTTTCGATATGTAGGCTACTAATGTAGGCCTAACTTTTTTTCTGTTGGGTTTAAATTCTGGTATGGGTAGTATCGAATTCAGTTTAATTCGTTGATTAGGAATAATACGAACGAATTTGCATTGTGTAATGCCTGTAAGTCTTATTTGTTATATTTTTTTTTAGTCTCGATGATCACTAGGCCTATCAATATAGTACAGGCCTATTAGTAGGCTATCATTCTTCTTACCTGTATCGACTGTTGGTTTTACATCTTTATATTTCGGATTCACAGGTACTTTCTTGGTCAAAGGCTAAAATTTACAAGAAAATTACACTTTCATTACCGCATTCGCTCAAACAAGTATATATTCCACAACTATCATTAAACCATCAAATAATAAACTTACATCAATCTTTTTCGCTCTAGAAGTGCTCACTGAAGACATTTTTTTTGTTTTCATTCGCAACCTTACTGTGCGCAGGTTTAGTCCAGTCTGAGTATCGGGATCCACGCTTCCTACTTTACGAACAACAGTTATCTCCCGTTATATATACCAGTTATGACATGTGACACTTAGAGAATCAACTCAACTTTGTTCAAGTTGAAAGAAGCTTGAATGGGATTATAGATCTATTAATGAATGGGACAATTGTTTTAACGAGAGTAATTCAATTAATTATAATGAACTAGTTACAGCAATTAGTAGACTAAGCTCATTTTGAATTACTGTTGTTAGGGATTTATATAGGCTTCCGTGTAATGTTATTGGCACTCATCATGACTTCAAACTTAATGCTCTGCTAATCAACAAGCTAGAGTATTCCATTACATTAAAAGTTTTAATAAACCATATTACAAATTAAAAGAAAACCAACAGTCTCAGAGCGCAAATATTTTGATTCAAAGCAAATCAAATATTGATGTTTGTCAGACAAGCTAGATATCCTGCAACCTGCATGGTGTGAACATGCTGTAGCCAGAAGCAGATTTAACAATTTAATCATTATTTATTCCTGTTGTCAACAAATAGTTTCTACTCTAGTCAAAACCTTCCCCACAGATTGTTTTGGGAGAAAATGTATACCCGTTATATATTTAATGATTAAACATTTCTTATGACATTTTGGTTTTCTTATTTAGATGTTGAATATATAATCAATTTGAATATATTTCAGCATTGATTAAGCCATGAAAATTAGATATGATATGAAGTGCAAAATGTTCCCTCGGCCTATACCAGCGTTCATTCAAATCTAAGCGCATCCATATTCTTATTTCACAAGTGGTGCGATGGAGGTCTAACGGGCCCTAGAGGAGTGGTCTTACACCTGGTCAGATGTCTTCAATTGTACACAAGTTTGATACTTTCATGATTATGATTCCTAAATATCCCCCCCCCCCCCAATGTTTGACATGTTATTTTAGATTAAAATATTAAAAATCTGCCAATTTTATTTATTTTGTATAAAGATTATTGTAACAAAATAAGATGAGATTCACATATAATTATTTTTCTTTTAAATGTAATTCAGAATTAAAAGATGTCTTATATACCAACACTGTTTGTGCTGTTTTCTGTACTACTCAGTATATATTTCTATTATCCCCCTCCAACACTTTCATCTGATTTAAAAGAGTGGCTCAACAAAGGAGATTTTATAAACTTTCAAGACAACAAGATTTTCTATATAGGTATTATAGGCATTATTAATGACATACACCTAAAGATAGACTTTTGCAAGGAGCTAAACCTCTTTGAACTAGGTAAAAAGTAAAGTATTGGATAGGCTTGATATGAGGTCTTACTACGATAGGTGATGGGGCAAACTCTATATGATTAAATCCATGTTTTGACTATTTTGGGTTTCATGGTTAGCTTACTGTGTTGATAGAAAAACACAAAATCAGTTATATCTGAACACTGGCCTTATCTATAAGACTTCAAGGAAGACAGATTGTCATCCCACAAAACAACTAAACATATAAAATCTAATAAAAATGGCAATTTGTTATAAAAGAACAATTGATTTCACATGTATAATTTGTGCTTAAAATAGTGCTATGAAAATTGGTATTCTGTCTAATTATTTTTTTCTTTTTATCTGTTAGATTCTAAGGGTAATGGTCAAGCCAGTACACTCATCTGTCTTCATGGTTTTCCTTCTTCAAGTTATGATTGGAAAAAAGTAATTTCTAGTATTACAATTTTCTATTGTCAATCAGTTGGTTTGAATGTGGGGGATAGTTGCTGGGCAGTGATTTTGTGTTCTTCTTATTCATAAATTCCATTAGTTAAACTGCCTTTTAATTTGGTCACTGGATCTGTGTTCTATTGAAATAATGAAATGATTTATGGGATGAGTGAATTGGCTAGATAAATCATCTAAGATTATTTTTGCTTTCATTAGAACAGTAGAAGATTTAGTTTTCAGTATGATATATATAGTTTTGATGGTGTATACTATATCATGGCAGAAACAAACATAACCTTTATACTTTATGTAATTCTGTTGGTTCGATTTTTGTTTACAAGTAACCATTTAAAAGATGGCATTTTTCAAGAACGAAGCCTCAACTTGAGTGTATAATGGAAATGAAATTAATAGGAATACATCCTTTTTTCGCAGGTTATGGATGGACTGGAACAGAAATTCAGTCGTGTTATAGTTTTAGATTTCTTAGGATTTGGGTTCAGTGAAAAACCGGTAATCAAACTTATAATTCAGTATTTATAAAAGTTAATACAAATGTTATGCTCCATTAAATCTAAATCTTGTTAACTCTATCTATGCTATTATGATTATCACCTGATCTTTTTTTATGTATTAATATGTCATAACAAAAAACAGTACTATTATGACAGTTTAACATTTTGGTATTTACAAAAAAGTTGCTGAGTATCGTATGTTATGTTCCCTGGCACCCTATATTTATCCATGAAATCTGTATTAAATTATATGTCTGATTTTTATTTAGATAACTCATAAATACAAGATAGCAGAGCAAGCAGACATAACATTATCTCTTTTGTCATATCTACAAGTTACAGAAGTTCATATTTTATCCCATGACTATGGTGATACTGTTGCTCTCGAATTATTAGCAAGGTAGCATCAGTATAAATTTTGTAATAGAATTTAAAGAATGATGTACTAGGAATATGAGGATACTATGACAACTTATTTAACGCAATCATAAATAAGTCCTCTAGGTGTTGCTGTGTCAAGGGAAACAACTCTTTGTATTACCCTTGTAACATGCCCCCACAATATTTATAACCCAAAAGTCAAAGATTTGATGACAGGTCAATCTAAAAGCAGCAAGGCCATTTTATACTTGAGAATAATATACTTTTTTCTTATTATAGTACTTTGTTTTATAAAATTACAACAATGATAATTTTCTCTCAAATAGAAGTAAACCAGTATATAAAATGATGTGTCAAGGGAGATAACTCTATGTAGGCTGTATAAAATATTTTTATATCTTGTTTCTTTAATACTGGTAATTACAGATATAACAAAGATGGCAGAGTTGGAGAAAATATTCAGTTAAAATCTCTCAGTATGTTAAATGGAGGTTTGTGTTTCTAAATCATTTAATCTTTTTTATCTAAATAATTACTCATGGGTGGCTAAATGGTTCAATGTGTGTGTGTGTGTGTGTTAGATCATAAGGAGTAGGGTCACCTGTCCAACCTCGTAATTTTCCTCCGTGCCCTCCAGTTTCCTCCCACTGCTAAAGACCCCTACACGCAAGCGAATTATTGAAATAAGACTGAACAATATGTCAAGTGGAAGTTAAATCCCAATTCTTTCTCTCTCTTTGAGGCACCTAGCACAGTAACATTTCCTGTTTATTGTTTTTTGAACATTAGTTTAGAATTTTAAAGATACATTATGGGAGATTTTTATAGAGAGTTGGCCATTCTTGCTATAACAGTTCAAAAGTAGATGATGAAAGAAGAATATATTGAAAATTTCAGTCAAATTACTTTATTCTGAACATAGTTATCATCGTTGTAATATTTGACTAGAAATGGTATTGAAATGCGCCTTCACCTTGGCCGTACGTTTGATTGACAGGCGTTAACTCCACCTACATATCTCGATTATCAAGTAAAGTTTTCAATGGCATGCGGAAACGCTCTACAGCTGCCTCGCTAAGTACACTCTATCATTTAGCCTCGATCTAACTGACGTATTCTCATCAGGGTGCGCCATATTTGAATTTATCAGTAAGTGAAATCCTATTTAAATCCGCGCTGTAGCCGAGCCATCTGTGGGTCTACAGAGTTGATTTTGGGCTTGTTGTTTAAATAAAGATCTAATTTATAATTTCTATAACATCTGAAGCCTAAATCAAGACTTGCAATAATCAGATTTTGCTCTTGCATAATGTATGTTTAAGTATGTTATGAGTTTATTTATATTTTAAGTTATTATTAACAGCATTGTTGCTTTCATTAATCTAAAGGTAAGAAAATATGTGTACAAATAGCCTATTTAGTTTGTCTGAATATTACATCTCAAATTTTTAGGGAATATCGGTACTCAACTCTTAGAATACTTGCCTCAAGTTTTTCACTGAATAAACTGGTAATTAAAATGCAGCATTAACTTACAAATGTAGTGCTCACTGGAAAATTAAAACAAAAATCAAGTATAGCAGAAAGTAGTCACTGTACACACATTTGAGTTATAGACCATTTTATCCATGCTCCCAGTGATTGCTACTACTAGTAAAAAGCCTGCCTTCAACATGTTGATATTTCTTTGAAATGTATCTTAAAGTTTCCAACAGTTGCTAGGGACTAACAGTTTTATTCACTGAAAGATATATGAGATTTTTCTCATATGACATAAAATCACAAAGAAAAAACTTCTCTTAATAGAATATGAGCAAATCAACTATTGTTCTGACTGGTTTTAAACATGTTTATTGTGTTATAATGTATAAACCTATTTTCTTTTTATTTTATTGAAGCTATATTTTTAGAAACACATCATCCCAGAATTTTACAAAAGGTGAGTAAGTTTTGGTTCTACCAACGGCATGGTTGTGTAAAGAAAATTAACTATACATTATGTTATGCAGAAATGGACTTCCAAAATTAATATAAAAGACAATATATCTTTATTATATGTGAATGTGAAAATATTCTTGATTTTATTTGCTGAATTTTAATGTTTACCTTTGTATGGCACTGGTTTTTGATTATTTGTAGATATTACAGTATCCAGTAATAGGACCAATAGGAGCTAGTGTTATATTTTATCAACTATTTAATAAAGGGTAAGGAGGCTTATCGTTGTTGTTTATTACAAATTTAATGTCCAATGTATTGTAATATGATATTATGGACAGGTTGATATAATTAACTTTAAAACACGGCGTTAGGAGAGGACAGGTCATCTTATCATCCTTTAATATGGCCATGTTTGTTTATTATTACTATTTAATCTGAATGTTGAATTTGACAATAGCTCCACGCCATTTCGGCATGGACTCCTCTAATCATTCGCTTTACCGGACGAAACTGTCTCGGCGAACACCAGCAATCCTAGGGAAAACTTCGGAGGGAACCAGCTAATTGAAACCAGAATTTAAGGAATTTTAACAGATTCATGTTGTTCAGTACTGCACACTCGAGTTCTTGGGTAAAGTCTTGATTTGAGATTATTTTTATACGTCCACATTGTCATCGCCCCTATCCTAGGGGAAACTTCAGAGGGAACCAGCTAATTGAAAAAATAAAATGTTCCCGCCATCATGTTGAAATATTAATAACTTGCATAATGCCTTTAGTAATTTAATTTTTATACGCCAACATTTTCATGTGGATGTATATTGTCGTCACACCTGTCCATCCATCCAATTTGTTTGTGGACATTCTACAGGTCACTATTTTTGATGAAAATTGAAATATAGGTCTATCTCCAAAATGATCTTGGTTTTCTTTTATATGCCCACATTTTCATGTGGACGTATATTGTCCTAGCCCCTGTCCGTCCGTCCATCCACAATTGTTTGTGGACACTCTACAGGTCACAATTCTTATCCAATTTTGACGAAACTTGAAATATAGGTTTATCTCCAAAAGATCTCGGTTGCTTTCGATATTGGCATGTATCGGACCGTAACTTCCTGAATTATGGCCCCTGATTATACGAAAAATCACGTTTTTAGCTTGTGGATCCTCTGGAGGTCATAATTGTTATCCAATTTTAGAAAACATTTAAATATATCATTGTTACACCGTAATGATGGTTGAGTTCAAATTTAGTGAAAATCGGACCAAAGTGCCTTTCAAAATGGATGCCCCTGGTATGCAAATAGTGTAGAAGTATGTAATACCAAGGTTGTGGACCCTCTAGAAGTTACAATTTTTATCAGATTTTGATAAAACTTAAAATAAATGTTTATGTCCCAATGATCACGGTCCCTTTAGATATTCGCACATGTCAGACTGTAACTTCCTCGATTATGGCCCCAGATTGTACGAAAAATCACGTTTTTAGCTTGTGAACCCTCGACTAGAGGTCACAATATTTATCCAATTTTAAAAACTGTTTAAATACATCAACGTGACACCATAATGATGGTTGAGTTTGAATTTCGTAAAAATCGTAACGAAACTGCCCGGCAAAATGGCCGCTCCTTGTGCGCAAATAGTGTAAAAGTATCTACTTCCGATTTTGATGAAACTTACAATATATGTTTATATCCTGAAGATCTCGTTCCTGTAGATGTCCACACATATCAGACCGTAACTTCCATTATTATGGCCCCTGATTGTAGAAAAAAATCACTTTTTTTTTAGCTTGTTCTCTGTCCATCTCTTGCAAAATGTGAGTGTATCTTGCATGGCAACCGCTTGTTATTTAGAAAATTCCAATCTCAAGAAATAATTTTATAGCTTCCATTTGTTTATAGATCAAAATTGCCTTATTAATTTAAGCATTTTTCCAGATTACCATTTGACTTCCAACTATCAACTCATGTTCCTATAAAATATTGCGGAGTTAACATAAAATTAATTCTTCAAAAAATTTATTATGACAATTTTCAGGTTTGGTGAAATATTTGGAAGTAATCAACCAAATGCCGAAGAAATGTGGGACTTTTGGACTGTTTTACGATATGATAATGGTAATGCAGCTCTTTCAAGGTAGATCGCTTCCAGTAATTGTTGTGAGCAGTACTTTATTCATATATATCAGGAACTTTTAATAATCAGTAGTTTTATATATGCTCACATTAAATGTGGGAGCATACTATCATCTTTGTCTTTCCATAATTCAAGGGTAGGGATTTGGGATAAACTTTTTATACGCCCACATTTTGTAGTTTGTGTGGATGACTCTGCTGCATTTATACATACAGGGGGACATACTCATAGACAGTGACATTTAAAGATGGGTTCCCGCGTACAAACTGGGTGATTTAATGGTATATATGGACTAAAAACATATTCAAACTAATTAATTTGTCATAATTATGCTTCAAATCCTTCTCAAACATTGTAATTGCGAAGGAATGCCCTGCTATTAAAATTCGATCTAACCAGGTCATGTTTACGTCACGTCTTGGAAATCAGAGGAGAATTCATTGCATACATAAGACAATGTTGTCTTTAATCACTTACTATTTATTACAAATATCGAATCCTAATTAAATTCTCGGATTATCCACTACCCGCGTCTTTTTCCGTCATTTTTATCTCAGAAAGTGTTATACGTCTAACTCTTCATAAAGTTTATCAACTTGTACATCAAGCCCTCAATGTTCGCATGTGACCTTTGAAATCACGCGTGCAGAAATTCTTAATCGTCGGGCTGTTGATTAGGGGAACCCTTACAGTTTTGTCCTGTATACGCTCCATGAGTGTTTTTCGGTGAATCCAGTATTTTTCTGGTAAGATAGGATATCCCTACTTTCCATATATACCAAAATTGCCATACTTTTATTGGAAATAACCACCCGATAAATACTTTTCTGGGAACCCATCTTTAAGTAAAACTAAAAGTTTGTCACCCATACATGTCTCTGTTAATCTAGTTGAGAGGTAGAATTCTAATGATTTTCAATGATTTCTGGCATTAAATTTAGGAGATACACTTGGTTAGACACTTTTGATATACTTTATTGTCCATATATAAAAATCAGCAGATATTTCAATTCAAAATGTAATACTTTACCAATTATACATATGAATGTATAATTAGTTATTATTGTATCAATGTATAATTAGTTATTATTATTTGAATGTATATTTAGTTATTATTGTTTGTATGAGCGTATAATTAGTTATTATTGTTTGTATGAATGCATAATGTAATTCACAAGCATGTTGTTGGCTGACCATGTGTTTGAAGTTTGTTTGAATGCATAATTAGTTATTATGGTTTGTATGAATTATAATTAGTTATTATTGTTTGTATGAATGTATAATTAGTTATTATTGTATGAATGTATAATTAGTTATTATTATTTGAATGTATATTTAGTTATTATTGTTTGTATGAACATATGATTAGTTATTATTGTTTGTATGAATGTAATATTTTTCTCTTTAGTATAATAGAGTTTTTACCAGAGAGGAAAGAATATAATGAGAGATGGGTAGGAGCTTTGAAAAATACACAATTACCAGGTAAGTATCATTCTACCACACATCTTTAGTGAGATGTTTTTTTCTTCAATTTGCAGAATAATTCTGAAAGTGCCTTAGATTGCCAGTTGCATTAATGTGAATACTCATTTTTGTTCTATGACATTAAATGAAGTACTTACTCTTCTAACCTATTACACTTATTTTAGAAAAGAGTAGTATACAGCAGAAGCAGATCACATTAAATTGAATATAATAAAACAAAGTATATTGTTATGCTGTTATTACCCTGCCTAAAACAAGGGTGTTTGTCAAACACATCACCCCTCAAAATAATAGATTACTTAACAGTGATTTATTAGATGGAAATCATGGCCCGATATGGCTACTATCGATTTTACCGATATCAGATATTGACAGCGATAAATTTGGCCGATAGAGATACATTTACCGATAGTGGTGGATATAAAACTATTACACATTACAATGTCTTGAATTTCATGATAATCAATGTAGATACATGGCATTGTTAGTCGGGAAATGCCTGGTACTATTTTACCTTGGGAATTAAACAGGAACGAGATGTTATTTTAAGGAAAATATAATTGGGTCACACTTCTTCTGCAGTCAAAAATACACACCATCTATTGTGAACTAAAAGTATTGCTGTATGAATGCCATTTTCTCACCTTTTCTCAAACTTCTATGTATTATGACAGAGAGAGAGAGAGAAATGGGGTTTAACGTCCACACGACACAAACTAGGTCATTTCGGGACTAATATATGGTTCAATTTTATTTCAATAAATTGCTTGCACGTAGGGGTCTTTAGCAGTAAGAGGAAACCATAGGACCCAGAGAAAACCCTCAAGGTGGGACAGGTGACCCTATTCCTTGTCACGTACAACTGGGGAATTGAAACCACGCCAGTTGACTCAATGACAGACCTTATGATACAATGCGCATGCGCTAACCATTCGACCATTCAACCCCCTGTATTATGACAAGTGTGGTGAAAATACCAGTACCATAAAATGCTGCGAAACAGTAAGATTTGGAACTATTTCACATCAACACAGTGATCAATGGAGGACCATTGTTTATTTCATAGTTTATAAAATTTAAATAAAAATTCAAAAGCATAAATAGGTATTATTGTTTGAGTTTGCAATCTCATATTTCTGGAATAACTCCACTGAGTGATGACGTACGATGTCAGCACACATTGAAATTGGATCGAAGAGAGCCCTCCGTGACTTACTACTGCGTTCTCTAATTCTTTCATTTGATTATCATGCAATGGGCTTATTCCATATTCCTGTCACATGTTTTATCCGGTGGACTGTTGTACGTTTATATCTGTTTGCACATGCACACAAATGGTATTCTTATCGGACCATCACTTGATGCTAGACTAGTCAGAGTCATTGATAAACAGTGATGTCAGTACCTCATATTAATTTCAATATGTATAATTATGTTGACCTCCTTCAGGTCATATTACTTTCCCCACACATTCACTTGTTGTCAAATACAATATACATGTATATTTAATCGACTGTGTGATTAAAGTATAGTGTCTATACTATATAAAGCTGGCAGTCAGCTGCCATGAAATTCAGGCAGGGTCCATAAAAATTAGATAAAGAAATGACACTTCTCGGCTATAATAGTTATAAGAGAGATAATGAAAAGAGAATATACTGAAAATTTCAGTCAAATTACTTCACTTTGAACCTAGATAATGGCAATACAATTATAACCTAGCCTCAGTTGTCATTACTACTGTTGTTACGATAATAAAAATAAAGTCTCACTTATCCATTTTTACCACCACAAAACGTATTTAAATCTTCTAATATCATAACCATCCAATGGCATCAAGAGTTGATTATGGTTTTGGTAAGTTAATTAATGTCTAATTAATAATTTATATAACATTTCAGCCCTTAAGAAAAACCTACAATAGGCAGATTTAGCTTTTGCATGATGCCTGTTTAAGTTAAGAAAATGTACTGTACTGTACTATTACTGGCCATCCTGAACTCTCTGTATAATATATAAGACTGTATATGTTTCAGTTCAAATGATATATGGTCCAGCAGATCCTGTTAATCCACCTAAATTTATACAACATTACAGGTAGGATCAAATTATTCATGGTGTCGACTCATTCTATCATATTACGAAAACACATAATTTTTTATGAATATTACTGACATAATTGTGAATTCCGTACGGGAATTAAATATGAAAAATAACGAGGTGCACCTATTTTTAATTATGGTCTGAAACTGTCTGCTTAAATAACAGAGTTATGCCCCTTTATTTTTGGTAAAAATGTCTGACAAGAAAAATTTGAAATAGCAGCACTGGTATCGAGGTAGTCAATTGAAGGCATGTCGTTCATTTGGAATCTTTGAGTTTACCTTTATCTTACAGATACTTCCACACAAAAATATTTATCGGGTGATTATTTCCAATAAAAGTATGGCAATTTTGGTATATATGGAAAGTAGAGACATACAATCTTACTAGAAAAATACTGGATTCCTTGAAAAACACCCATGGAGCGCGCAGAGGACAAAAATGAGAGGGTGTCACTAATTAGCAGTCTGACGATTAAGGGCTGTCTGCTCGAGTGACGTCAAAGGTTGCACACGTAGATTGTCCGACCTCTTGGTGTTAGGGAGTGATTGATGTAATTGTTGATAAACTTAATTTTGAGCGGATGTGGATAAAGTGATATTCTCTGAGATAAAAACTAAGGAAAAAGACGTGGGCATGGGATAATCTGAGAATTTGCTAAGGCTTCGATATTTATAATATTTAATAGATTTTTTATACCTTGGGAGTATTTCCTCTCGAATACAATGTTTTGAGAGGGATTTGAAGCAAATTTTTGATAAATTGATTAGTTTGTATATGTGTTTAGTCCAAATATATCATCACAGGAAGGTACTTTTAATATTAATCTGATTTTACATATATCTCTTAACCAGCAGTTGCCATGCAAGATACGCCCACATTTTTGCCAGAGATGGATAGAGAACAAGCTAAAAAAAAAAATTTTTTGTACAATCATGTACCAGAATCCAGGATGTTATGTCTTTGGGATATAAACATATATTTTAAGTTTGATCAAAATCGGACAAAAACTGTGACCCCTAGAAGGTCGACAAGCTTCGTATTACACACTTTTACACTATTTAAGTACAAGGAGCAGCCATTTAGTCAGGTAGTTTCGTTTTGATTTTCCCGTATTTCATACTCAACCTTTATTATGGTGTAACAGTGATATATTTAAATGTTTTTTTAAAATTGAATAAAAATTGTGACCTCCAGAGGGTTCACATGCTAAAAACGTGAATTTTCTTACAATCAGGGACCATAATCCATGAAGTTACGGTCTGATACATCATACATGCCAATATTGAAATGAACCAAGATCTTTTGGAGATAACCTATATTTCAAGTTTCGTCAAAATCGGATAAAAATTTGATTGTGGACACCATACAATCAAATTGTGGACGGAAGAAAGGATGGATGGACAGGGGTGACAACAATATATGTCCACATGAAAATGTTGGCGTATAAAAATTAAATTACTAAAGCCATTATGCAAGTTATTAATATTTCAACATGACGGCGGGAACATTTAATTTTTTCGATTAGCTGGTTCCCTCTGAAGTTTCCCCTAGGATAGGGGCGATGACAATGTGGACGTATAAAAATAATCTCAAATCAAGACTTTACCCAAGAACTCGAGTGTGCAGTACTGAACAACATGAATCTGTTAAAATTCCTTAAATTCTGGTTTCAAACGTTATTCAGGGGAAATGACTCATCCAATTACCTGTTGTCTCCCCTTAGACCACAAACCAAATTTATACGAAACTAGTCTTTGGTCAGGTCAGCAACAATGTCTCTGAAGTGGTTGATATAATGAATTAAGATAGATATTACCGGTAGTTTAACGGCTTGCATTAATCTATTTTCAGAGAAACTGTACCACAACATGAAATAGTAGAATTAGAAAAGCATATTGGTCATTACCCACATTGGGAAGATCCTGTTAATGTTCTCAAGACATTTTACCTTTTTATAGACAAATTAGAAAAATAGATAATCTATTTTTAAATTATTAATTTAACCTGGTTGTGTTCAAAAATTGATTAAATTATATACAGTTACATTTTATGTTTCAATAGATTGTCATCAATCCTGTCTGTTTACAATTCTCTACAGGTCAGTTATAACATTTGACATATCGGTTATAAGGAGTGGAACAGTATCTTACTTCAGTCATGCATTGACTTATACTCCTGTCACCAAAACTCTGCACACATTCCAAATCTCAAGTTTCAGGTAAATTTATTGCTCACATGTGGTTCTTGCTGCCTTCCTTCTGAAAGATGCTGGTGGGTTTAAGCCTGACAACTAGTGACAACGCTATGTTAATTTATGCAATTTAATATATGTTTCCTTCAAATGAAAATAATTTTATAGATGTTTTTTACTTTGTTCTGATTAAATTTAATACCCTGTTAGTTTTGCATTAAATTTCTTATAGTCTTATTTACTTTAGCATTATGCTCTACCCATATGTCGCATCCTGTTTCACATTCACAAGAACTCACATGTTTGAACGTACAAGAGAGATAACTTTTCGATCGACAAATTCAGAATTTTGATGGGGTCCTTACATATGGCCCAATGAACAATTGCTTCAGATTTGAAGAAATCGGTCACAAATTCTGACCTGTCGACAGACAGCAGTCGCGAGACACACAGCAATATATACTCTTCAAAAATGCACTGCTGTTTTTATTAGAGATAACCAGTGTATGTTAATAACAGGCCAATTGCCTACACATAAACATAAACAGTTCATATGGGTGGCTTATCTGACGGACCCATTTCACTCGCAAAGAGATACACTGTCAATGGACGTTTTTGATTTTTGTTTTAATAATGAGTAATTGCTCCACCAATGTTGTCAGCTGAAGTTGATGTCGACGAACACGTTTCTCGATCAAATTAAACGTAACACACTAAAGCAAAGATACGCTAAACAGTAAATCTTATGTAAGAACCGATAGGAAAGCAAACATGGATAGGATAAACTAGCAAGCGGCAGTTTTCATCAACCCTTCCTTGAAGTGTCAAATTTAACAATGAACCCCTCCCAGGTGTATGGCGCTATTGTGTGTCACACATGCAGCTCAGTGGTTCTGTTGGGACGATAAGTTCTTCATCTGTAAACATGCTCTCAAAGCATGTCAAGTGTCCATGACTATTTATCATATCACAGCCTGCATAGGTATTTGCATTTCAATATCCCCTACTTTTTTTGAAGAGTATACATCCATGATTAAGTTTATATAACAAGCAGTTGCCATGCAGGATATGCCCAGATTCTGCAAGTGATGGACAGAGAAGAATCTAAAAAGGAGATTTTTGTCCCCCGCCTTTCGAAGAAAACAGGGGACTATTAAAATGGGTTCGTCCGTCTGTCTGTCTGTCCGTCTGTCTGTCCGTCACACTTTTTGGGACACAATAACTCTCTTCCTAATTGAGCTAGAATGTTCAAACTTGGTGTATGTGTTTATTAGGTCAATGCCTTGATGGAGTTCGAAGATGAGCATTTTCCGCTTAGGGTAAGCAGAGATAAGCAATTTGATTGGTTGATGCTTTGGGACACGATAACTCTCTTCCTAATTGGGCTAGAATGTTCAAACTTGGTGTATGTGTTGATTAGGTCAATGCCTTGATGGAGGTCGAAGATGAGCATTTTCCGCTTAGGGTAAGCAGAGATAAGCAATTTGATTGCATGGTTGATGCTTTGGGACACGATAACTTTTAATTGAGCTAGAATGTTCAAACTTGGTGTATGTGTTTATTAGGTCAATGCCTTGTTTATTTTGATTCTATCTGATAGAGAGTGATGAAACTTAATGTATACTTAATAATCAGTTTGATTGCTGGATACTTTTGAAAAAGATAAACATGCAATTAATTAATATATGTCATCTATTTATTTCGGGATTTCAGCGGGGGACATCAGCCTCACTGTTGGCTTGTTTGTACAATCAGGGGCCATAATCCAGGATGTTACTGCCCCTGATTGTACAAAAAATCGCTTTTGTTTTTAGCTTGTTCTCTATCCATCTGTTGTAAAATGTGGGTGTATCCTGCCTGGCAGCCGCTGGTAATTTTATAATATACCTAAATGGCATTTAACACTTACTTTAGTTTTGTATGTCAGTTTTGGTCCAATTTTTACGAAATTCGAACTCAACCATCCTTAGGGTGTAATGGTGATATATTCAAACGTTTTTTTAAATCGGACAAGCTAAAAACGTGATTTTTCGTACAATCAAGGGCCATAATTCAGGAAGTTATGGTCCGATATGTGCCAATATCGACAGGAACCGAGATCTGTGGGTTATAAACATGCATTTCAAGTTCCATCAAAATCAGATGAAAATTGTGACCTCCAGAGGGTCCACAACAGCGATACACAATATTTTGACACTATTTGCGAACGAGGATCGGTCATTTTGTCCGTCAGTTTCAGTCCGATTTTTACGAAATTCGAACTCAACCATCCTTAGGGTGTAATGGTGATATATATATTTAAACGGTTTTGTAAATTGGATAAAAATTGTGACCTCTATGGGGTCCACAAGCTAAAAACAAGATTTTTCGTACAATCAGGGGCCATAATTCAGGAAGTTATGGTCTGATATGCGCGAATATCGACAGGAACCGAGATCTGTGGGTCATAAACATGCATTTCAAGTTTAAACCAAATCGAATAAAAATTGTGACCCCTATAGATTTTCCAGAAGCTAAAAACGTGATTTTTTGTACAAACAGGGGCCATAATCCATGAAGTTTCGATCCGATACATGCCAATATCGAAAGTAGCCGAGATCTTTGGGAAATAAACCGAGCCATAATTCCTGAATTATATGGTCTGATACATGCCAATATTGTAAGGAACACAGATTTTGGGGATATAAACCTATATTTCCAATTTCGTCAAAATCGGATAAATATTGTGACCTGTCCACAAACAAAATGTGGACATCCGGATGGACAGGGGCGACGACAACAAACGTCCACATGAAAATGTGAATCCAAATGATTATAAAGAGCCATGCCCATTTCTTGTATTTGTTTGTCGTCTACAGCCCACATTTCTTATACCCTAAGGAACATCCCTATTGTTTGTGGTGCATGCCCAACCCCCAGGGGCAGAGGCACACCCATTTCCTTTTTGTGTGTATGTGTGTTGTCTACAGGCCCGCAATTCTTAATCAATTGTCTTGAAAACTTTTCATACTTATTCGATATGCCCTACATGGCCCGAGTCACGCCCAATTTTTGTGTTTATCGTATACAGGCCTTAATTCTGAATGGATCAGCTTGGAACTTGGCATATGTATTCCTTATAGCCTAAGGGTGGCAACTATTACTTTTGGTGCATGTCCTGACCCAGGGCAGAACCACGCCCAATTTATGTGTTTAGTGTCAGACGGCCACAATTCTGAATGGATTATCTTGGAACTTGGTATACTCATTCCTTATACCCTAAGGACGGCAACTATTGATTTTGGTGCATGATCCCCCCACCCACTTCCTCTTTGGGTGATGCCACACCCAAGTTTTGTTAATATTTAGTCTGTAAATGATATATGGACTGCAATTATTAACAGATTTGGATCCAATTCAGTATGATCCATCATAGGGTTGTACCTATTTATATTGGTCTATGTCCAACCCCCAGGGGTGTAAAGCCACGCCCAATTTTTGTGTTTTTTGTCTACAGGCTGGAGTACAGAATGGATCACCTTGGAACTTGGCATATTTTTTCCAGTAAGGATAGTAACTATTTATTTTAGTACATGTCCTGACCCCCAGGGGTGTGGTACTAAACCCACTTTTTTGTCTGTAAATACTCTACAGGTTGCTATAATTAACAGATATTGTTCAAATCCAACCCCCAGGGGCAGAGCAACGCCCAATTTTTGTATTTATCATCTACAGGCCTCAATTCTGTATGGATCATCTTGGAATCTTGCATATTTATACCTTGTACCGTAAAGACAGCAACTATTTATTTTGATGCATGCCCCGACCGCCTGGGGCAGTGTCACACCCACTTTTTTTGTTAATAATTAGTTTGTAAATTTGGCAAAACAAACCCAACACCTAGCCTGCTTTGCCTCTTGTCATATTACAGTCATTGCAGCTATTTTATTCTCTTCAATTTAAAAAGTACCATATCAATGAAAGCAGGAATGTGGACGTATATTAAATTTCCATCAGATGAATGTTTCTAATATGTGTAATATAAATATAAGAATTGATATTTTAGTTTCCCAGGTAATATTAGCTCAATTTTTACTTTAATAATAAATATACACACCATGTGACAAATAATAAATTAGCTGATCCCAAAAATATTTTTACAAAAAGAGATAAGAACAATACTTACACATAAACAAAGAAAACATTTACCATTTTATCTAAACTGGCAGTTTAAATCATATTCATTCCCACAATTACAGTTTAATCCTACCACAAAACCATATACCAAACATCCATACATAACCATTCATTTAAGAATATGTAATTAAATTGTGTACTCGCCAACAAATATTGTCCACTTTCAGAGTTTGAAAATGGCAGTAGTTTCATTAATTCAGACAATGAGGTACACATCATGTCTCCTCTACATACAACAATGGCTGTGATGTTATGAGGGTAACTGTCAATCATTGTTTGCTATAATAGCTACTCTTCATACAACTGACTGTAAGTGAATCAGATAGTTTTTACATTTAATAGCATGTGTTTAAAGCATATGTACTTTGTTTATGTAAAGTGTTTGACAGTTACCCGCAACTTAATTTGTAAGTTAAAGACAAAATGATTAATACTTATAAATAAAATATGAATAACCTGCAATACCATTTTCTAAAGAAACATAAGAAATAGACCTAAATGTATCATGCAGTTCATCAATCTCTTTTAACATCATATAAAAATATGCCATATAAAACATTCTCCATGTTACTGTCACTTTCTAGTATTTATATAGGAATAGTCCATCCATATGTTTATCTTGACACTACCAGTCTTGAAAAGGTGCCATCTCTCTGTAGAATATTTTTACTCGGTTGTTTAGGGTGGCATCAAATTCTGCCCAAAAGAAGGCCTTAACACCCATAAATCCTTCATTTTGGATTTTTTCCACCAGCAATTTACAAACTGAATGAAGAAATTATATAAGGGTATTAAAAAGTTGATATACAAATTGGTGAATGGACAACATCTTGGCTTGTAGGATTATTAATCACATTAAGAAACTGTACTATTATTAGAAAGTTTTGAAATATTACTCAAAAGATATTATTTTCTTACAAATCACCCGTTTTATAAATATCAATCAAATGTTAAGGTTAACTTACCCTTCTCTTGACTATTTGAAAATATAAAGTGTATAAACTTTTTATCTTTATTATAGACCATCATGTTCTCTGTTGCTGATACTTGTGTATTACCTTAAACATAAAATATCATTCAAGTTTACAGGGACACTCTCAACGTTGGGATGTGCCGACATCAGATGGAATAGATCTTGGCGGAGGAAGTATGAGGCAACTTTTGACATGGCTAGCCGTTGTGAGAACATTGAGGGATTTAAACGTCTAGTAGGCTTTGCAATTCAATGACGGAAAAAGAAGTTGGCAGAATATAATCCAAGAATTTACATACGCTTGATATTTATGGTAAATGGTCAGCGACTAATGACTAATACAAGCTCTAAACGGATATTCTGCAACATGACGAGTCACTTGATAAACAAGATTGCTTAAAAAAGATTGAGGTACTTTCCTTGCGATTAAAATATTTTCATATAGATTTGAAGCAAACTTTTGATGGATAAATTAGTTTGACTATGTTTTTAGCTGGGAAGGCATCTTTAAAGCATGCATAAATGTAACATATTGTAGAGAACGAGATGTATACAAGTACGGTTTCACCCTTTGTGGTCAGTATATTTCGTATCTTTATTTTACTTTATACATACATTGTATATAACATCTACTTACCACGCCATGCCAATTCAATCTGAACTTTAACAATAAATTTATTTTTAGATAAGCGTAATATTTCAGTAGGATCTGCCTGTTTGACAACAAGTGTTGTTAATACATAACCTATAAAATATCCAATATTATGTTGAGCACACATAAGATTTTTATTTACAAAATAATATCATTTGTGGGAGAAAGAAACATAAAATAAAATAATGCATAACACCATAACCAAAGACAACCAATTTCTAAAGTTTAGAATAACCTCCTTTTGCTAAGCATATATTATAATGAAATGGGGTTTAATGTCCCAATTTTCTGCACCGAATAAGACCGGCATACACCATGCAGTGTGCTAAGAGAAAAATTTTGCCCACACAGCAATTGAATTCCAACTGTCAAGGGTTATTTTAAATGCACACCAACGTACACATCTCATCCAAATGACTAGATGCTCTTCCTTGCCATAACCTCTATTGTGCACCACAAACACGGGGGGAAAGCACACTGGAAAACTTTCTCAGTCAACACACCAGAATAATACACCAGAAAATACACACCAATCCCTGTTAGAAGAGTTATTTATCACACAATCTACTCCCAATGTCAACGTAAATTGATGTCATAGATAAGATAATAAAGGGAAAGATAAAGTAGTTGAGCTAGGTGTACAACTGGTGTTTTGAAAAAAAAATTTTTTTTTAAGCACAAGCTAATTTGTAAGTTGTGAAAAAAAAATAAATGTTTTACCAGAGCATATCTGTTTATGACCATATTTCCAGTCTAATTTTTGACAGATTTTACTACAATACTGGGCTGCTTTACAACCGGTACATTTTTTCAGCCCGGTTTTAGGTTTCTGACTACAATGTGCACACATTAAATTTGTAGAAGCTAAAACATTGAAAACAACGTTAAAATTTGGGGTTCACATTTATATTAATGTGTATCCACTATCCATTGAAAACCAAATTCACAAATCATTTTTTTGTTGGTTTGTTGCAATATGCAAACAAGTACAACCGGTTTTACTGCTTGTCTATATTTTTCTTACATATTTGTAGCTATACCTATGCAACTAAGTTAATACAAACACCAGCAATACAGTGTGCTATGATGAAATTTTGCCCGGACAGCGGCACTACGGCCTACTCTTATATCGAATTCCAACTGCCAAGGATCTTTTACGTGCACTCCAATGTGTACACGGGACCTCGGTTTTTCGTCCCATCCGAACGACTAGAAAGCTGTCCTTGTCAGGCCCTCCGTCCTGCATCACTGACAAGGGGAAACCACGCCGGAAAATCTGGATGAACTTTCTCGGCCAATGCAGGGATCGAACACCCGACCTCCAGGCTAGCAATGCAAAAATTAAAAAGAGATTACTGTGAAAAATAGAGACTTCAAATGAATTGATTAATAGATTAGCATTTTAATTGGTTGTTTACAACAAACAACTAAGAACACAACATAATGATACTACTTGTCAGATGTTTAATAAAACTTAGTCCAGTAAAATATCAAAAATGACATATGAAACCATCTTAGTTTAACCAGACAGTGATAAAACACTGCAACTACTTACTCCTAATAACAGCAATTATATCTTCATTATCTAACTTCTTCGCCAGGTCTAAAGGTGTTTTTCCTTTTTTATTTTGAATTGTTACATCAGCTCCATGTTTCATCAAAATTTGTACACAATCTGAAATAACACCAGTGGTTGCCACGCAAGATATGCCCACATTTTCCAAGAGATTGACAGAGAATAAAGAACAAGAAAAAAAAAAAAATGTGATTTTTCGTATGATCAGGGGCCATAATCCAGGAAGTTACGGTTCGATATGCTCGAATATCAACAGGAGCCAAGATTATTGGGTCATAAACATACATTTTAAGTTTCATCAAGATCTGATAAAATCAGTGACTTCTAGAGGGTCCACAACCATGGCCATTTTCTTCGGCAGTTTCGATTCGATATTTCGAACTCATTGGGGTGTAACGGGGATATGTGTAAATTTGAATATAAATTGTAACTTCAAGAGGGTCTATAAGCTAAAAACGTGATTTTTCAACCAATCTGGTGCCATAATCCAGGAAGTTACGTTCCGATATGTGCGAACATCGAAAGGAACCAGGATCTTTGGGTTATATATAAACATACATTTCAAGTTTCATCAAAATCGGATGAAAATGGTGACCTCTACAGTGTCCACAAGCTAAAAATGCCATTTTTTGTACACTCCGGGGTCATAATCCATGAAGTAACAGTCTGATACATGCCAATATCAAAAGGAACGGAGATCTTTTAAAGATAAACCTCTATTTCAAGTTTCGTCAAAATCGGATAAGAATTGTGACCTGTAGTGTCCACAAACAAATTGTGGATGGACAGGGGCAACGACAATATACGTCCACATGAATATATGGTAGTATAAAAATCTCCACTCAACAGTAGTACAAACAGATTTGAACAAGAAATAAGAGGTCATAACGTTTCGGGTGATATGACTCTGATTACTCTAATTCTACTTAAAATATGTTTGTACTATTCCTGAGCGGGGATTTTTATATTTCTATTTATGTCTACTCTCTCTGCCAGCATCATCGTTTGATCCAGAAGCTACACAGATGTACCAACCTGTTTAGTCTCTGCTACTTTTTTAAGGGAGTGTTGCCATTTCCCCTCCAATTTTCTAATTAAAATTGGTAAATATTTAAGAATGGAAAAGTTCAAGTGTGGTAAAAGTTTGTTGCAGCAGCATGTTCATTCATTTTCGGATATCAATTTTTTATCAGGTGGTGAGAGTTCATATTATAAATCCAGAAATGTACATAAATCTGGGTATAGTTTAGAACAGGCGAATTCAGTCCATTGGCAGTAGAAATCTTCTTGTTGGCATTGTTGGATTTTGAAATAAATCTTTCGATAAAACAATATACAGAGTCATGGATTTCTTGATAATAAAATAATTACATACGTATATCTCCAGCATAAACTGCAGTATGTAACGAAGAGTTCCCATATTTATTGACACTGTTCACTTCAGCTCCTTTATTTAACAAAGTTTCTGATACAGATGAATTGGCATAGCGGCCTACAAAATGTAAGTAACAACAATAAAAGTGCAATCTAATTAAAATATAGATCTATATTTCGTTTCGTTTTTAATACTTTCGATGACCTACACTACATGTAGATCTAACAAGTTATAGTGGGAGTTCTCGTTCTATGACGTCAGGTACCAAGCAAGCGACATTTGACCCGATTACGTCAGTCATTCGATTAACCAATTAGCGACCGCCATGTATTTTTAAACACTTGATTCGACAGACCATTTGATTGGCTGACCCCTCATTTCAAGCAGAACACGAGTTAAATAACAATGTTTCCAGATCCAAGTGTAGTAAAGACAAGTAAAATCGAAATTTTGAACTATAAAAACGAAACGAAATTGGATCTGTGTTTTAATCAGATTGATAAACGTGTTGAAGTGACCACATCTCACCTACATCTTTGCATATAGCTTTATTAGTAATTCTGTAATTAGGAAAACGCATAATATCAGTTCAGATTTGATGTGGGTACAAAGTTTCATGAAATTATCTCAGCCGTAACTGACATATTCTCTGAAAACAAAACTATGACAAATAGGACAAATCTACTGCTTATTCATTTATTCAGTATCTTATTTTTATGTCTTCTTAAATTTGTGATTTGATTTGAATCATACTATTCATACAGCAACACCTAAATCGTGATATAAAGTAAATGAAATAGGGATTAACATCCTACTGTTCTGCTATGAGGGAAATTTTGCACGGACAGCGGCACTATGGCCTACACTTATATCTAATTCCAACTGTCAAGGGATCTTTTACATGCTTTCACCATTGGTACAAAAAACCAAGGTCCCGTGTACACAGCGTCTTACGCACTTAGCCACCGTTGCTCCAAAATAGTGATATAGTCCGGCAGACCTATGACTGAACCTGGAAATTGTATACAAAGTTTTTTTTATGATTGATTTTAGTAGCCTAGGGTGTCCTCGTTCAGAATCTGCCGGGTGAACCTCGGTCCCCCTTGAGTGTTTTGAGAAATTCAAGATGGCGTCCAAGATGGCCACCACATCAAATAATCCCCTATAGCTCCCATAGTATTTATTCTAGGATGATAATTTTGGTGTCTAACTGTATGTTTCTGGGGTCAAGGAATACACTGAAATCATTTATTATGTTGTGGGGTGATTAGATGATATTAAAATCAAACATGCCAGACAATATGACCCTTTAACTCGTTATCGGCGGTTTGGGGAGATTATTTCACCGAACCAAACTAAATCTAGAGACAAACTATATATACTATTCAAAAAAAGTAGGGGATATTTGATTTTTAAGTGTTATTAAAGTCACCTAATGAAACTGACGAAGAAACAAATGACAAAATGAAATGAAGTTCACATTCATCGATTTATTCCAAATGATCGTTAGACTAAGTAAGGCACAGACTGACCATTATAAGGGTAAAATGATACCCGGGGTCAAACAGCAAACTTACCACAGCATCACAACCAAGTCAGTAACGGGTAAATCCTCCTCTGTTTGCCAAACAAGCATTGATCCGACGTGGCATACTCCTAATGAGACGTCTAAGGTCATTTTCGTCCAGATTGTCCCATTCCTGTTGCAACGCAGCAGCAAATTCTTCGACATTGGCAGGACGTTGTTGACGTTGACGTAACCTCTGTCCAAGCATGTCCCAGACATGCTCGATGGGGGAGAGGTCGGGACTCAGTGCTGGCCAAGGTAATGTGGTGATGTTCTGTTGTTGGAGGTAACCTGTAACGATCCTGGCCCTGTGACATCTTGCGTTGTCATCCTGGAAGATGAAACGGCGGCCATGACGTCGTGCGAACGGCACAACATGGACTGCCAAGATGTTGTCCCGGTAGTACTGGCCTGTAACACGCCCTGCATCAACATGTAAAGCCGTTCTTCCAGCAACAGTGATGCCTCCCCACACCATAACAGAACCACCCCCAAATCGATCATGTCTGATGACGTTAACGTCTTGGAAGTGCTCGTTTCGACGACGACACACCCTCCTACGTCTGTCCAAAAAATCAACAGTGAACCTTGACTCATCTGAAAACATCACATTGCTCCAGCGTCGATTATCCCAGTGTTGACGATCCCTACACCAACGACGTCTTGCCTGAATGTGATGACCTCTCAAACAAGGGATCACGCGAGGACGTCGGGAGCGAAGGTGACCCCTATGCAGTCGATTCCGAATCGTCTGGCCACTCACTCTCACACCAGTGTCTGTTTTAAGACGAGCGCTGATCTGATTTGCTGTGATGACACGATTTCTCAAGGCCAAGGTACGGATAAATCGATCCTGGGCTTGAGTTGTTGCCCTTGGTCGACCTGAGCGTGGTCTGTCCTGTACAGATTGTGTATCACGGTATCTGGACCATAGCCTGCTTATGACAGACTGAGAAACATTCATCGTCCGCGCCACAACCGCCTGTGTTGTGCCGATCTGTAGCATGCCAAGGGCACGTAACCTTTCATTTTGGGTAAGCCGACGCATATCAAAATTTGTTTTCTGGTCACTAAAACAATTAAACTGATGTTTCCACCCTGGAATTCAATGCCACAATGACTGTAACATTCAAAGTCAGAGTTGTACAAATCTTGGGTTGGACCCCCATGATGATCCCAAGCATCACCTGCATTCCATGCGGTAGCTATTGGTGCGTTTGGGCGTCACATGTAACTGGAAATGTTTCTTCTGTTAGGTTCTATAGTGACTTTTTTCGTAGTCATTTGCATATTTTAGTATTATGCCCCCAAAATCAAATATCCCCTACTTTTTTTGAATAGTATATTTCTGGACATAGGAGCGTATGAGTGATAGGATAACACCAAATACAGCCCTATTAGGGGCTCCGGGGCCACATGGGTTGGTCCTGAAAATGGAGACACAAGCTGAGTGTTGAACGTTTAAAAAAATTATTTCTAACCGCAAAACAGGAACATAAATTCCACAAAACTAGGTAATATCCAGTTTAATATTTTAGTCGTGTTTCTGACTGCAACCTGTGACAGCACAGGCGCAAAATGTTGTATATTCTAAGCCATCCCTAGTGCCGCTACAAGCACACGTACTACATGAGCTGTCACTACTACATCCACATCTGATGAGCCACATGGCAGACTCCGGAGCAAGTTTACCGGTTGTAATGTTTTCAATATGGTATCTTTCTCCCAGTAATACTGTTCCAGATCAAGTTCCGATGGATTCCGATCTTCCAGTGAACGCCACACAATAGCTTGGTGATGAGCTCTTTTTACGTTCTCTGCAAATGTATCATTCTTGAGCAAGGTTACATGGTTTGGGTGGAGAATAATGACGATACATTTCCAGTTTTAGATGTCCACACCCTCCAGCGTGTTTCAGACATAGATTTTTAGAACTCTGTTCATAAAAAAGCTGACATAAATACAGTGGCCTGTGTAACTGTGTGAGCAATGACTCTATTGGAGTGTCTATTACTCCGACGAGTGGGGTGAGAGAGAATACAATCAAGCTCTAATACTTTCAAAACTGTTGATTTCCACACGACGTAGCCGCATGTACCTGTGTCACATCCAGTAAGAGAATGAGCTGGCAGGATTTCAACGATAATTGACATGTGTTTCTCCGTAGTTTAACCATTGTCAACGGTTGTTCTTTCCTGGATTGGTGATTTTGGACCGAGCTCTTGCAAATCGATGACTTAAAACACGCTGGAAGGTATCAGGCATCTAAAACTGAAAATGTATCGACATCATCCCCACCTAAACCATGTAGTCTAGCTCCAACGAATGATGCATTTGCAGTGAACATAAAAATACGACATCGCTAAGCTATTGAGTGGCATTCACTGAAAGATCGGAATCTGTCGGAACTTGATCCGGAACTGTATTGCTGGGAGGACACTAAATTGAAAACATCACAACCGGTAAACTTGGTCCGGAGTCTGCCATGTGGCTCATCAGATGTGGATGCAAGAGTGATAGCTCATGTAGTACGTGTGCTTGTAGCTGCACTAGGAATGGCTTAGAATATACAATATTTTGCGCTTGTGCTGTCACAGGTGGCAGCCAGAAACACGACTAAAGTATTAAACTGGATATTATCTAGTTTTGTGGAAGTTATGTTCCTGTTTTGCGGGTAGAATTTGTTTTTTTAAATTTTCAACAATCAGCTTGTGCCTCCCTTTTCAGGACCTACCCATGTGGCCCTGAATGCCCTGATAGGGATGTATGTGGTGTTATCCTATCACTCATACGCTCTTATGTCCAGAAATATTAGTTTATCTACTGATATAGTTTGGTTCGGTGAAATATTTGCCCCCAACCGCCGCTAACTAGTGAAAGGGCCATATTGTCTGGCATGTTTGGTTTTAATATCATATAATCACCCCACAACATAATACTCGACCCCAAAAACATACGGTTAGACACCAAAATTATCATCCTAGAATAAATACTATGGGAGCTATAAGGGATTATTTGATGTGGCGGCCGTCTTGGACGCCATCTTGAATTTCTCAAAACGCTCAAGGGTGACCGAGGTTCACCCGGCAGATTCTGAAAGAGGACACCATAGGCTACTAAAATCAATCATAAAAAAAACTTTGTATATAATTTCCAGGTTCACTCGAAAAATTGGGTTTGGCGACCAGACTAATATGTATCATTTTGTGTCTAATACTATATATAGTAAGTATAATAGCCGCGGTTTCTACAAAACAATAAGTATAAAAATTACCTGCTGCTAAAGCTAAAGGTGTAAATCCATTTTCATCTTTTATGTTTGTATTGGCATTATATTTTAACAAAATGCCCAAGCATTTTACCTAAAAAGAACAATAATGGGTATTAAAATACAGATGTGACGTCACCCTTTGATGTTAGCGTACCATTATTTCAAATAATCGTACAGGCAACTTGCCAATCGTACCTTGTCAAATATTAGACTCGAGTGACGTATTTCACTGTAAACGCACGTGCGGAGTGTCTGTATTTTAAGATGTTTAATGGTCTCGAGCTGAGACATTGCGTAATATATTGTAAAAACACTCGGACCTGACGGTCCTCTTGTTGTTACAATATATTACTTAATGTCTCAGCTCGAGACCATTAAACAATACAAAATAATCAGTTAAGGTAAGAAAGGCTCTCAAGATTTCAGACACAATAACTATGCACAAAACTGGTTGACAATTGAAAATCTGAAAACTTTGATGTGTAGTAAAGCATTACAAAGTTTTGGTGACAGGGGAGGTAACTATGCTTCCTTGCATGAGCATCTCTGAATTACAACATTGTAGAACATTTCGTGGAGGCTTACTTGCTCATTCAGTCAATGAAAGCACCTTAATTTTCTTTATAAATCGGTTTAAACTTCAACCATCACACAGCACTAACAATAACTGATGTCCTGTTAACTTGTAGAAACAGTTATACTTTTCAACAGTAACAGAAATAATCGGCTAATAATATCAATGTTAAAAAATATTACCATTTTAATTTATAATATACCTAAATCGCATTTAACACTTACTTTAGAAAACAAAATAAAAAAAACTATGGTAGATAATATTTTGCCTTTAAAGGTGAATCAATCATATCAATAAAAAGTTCATCAAAGATTTTAGCTAAGTTTATAGGTGGCCTTGGCTTATTTTTATGCTCCGTTTTTATTATTAGCAGATGTTGAAGAATGCTTACATCTTTGTAAATATAACAAAAAATTGAATCATTTATGGACTGATATTCATTTCAGAGACTCAACTATTATAATAATGCAGTTTGCTAGGTATTAAAATATCCCTCAAATGACCATCAGAGATAATAAATCTTTGACCTGATACCCTTTTGATATAAATCAACGATGTATATATATTGAAAGATATCATGTGAGAAATGAAATGAAATGGGGTTTAACATCCTACTGTTTTGCTCCTAAACTGGGCTAATGAAGACGGGTATACGCCATACAGTGTGCTATGAGGGAAATTTTGCCTGGACAGTGGCTCTACGTCTACGGCCTACTCTTATATTGAATTCCAACTGCCAAGGGATTTTTTTCATGCACGCCAATGTGTACACGGGACCTCGGTTTTTCGTGCCATCCGAACACGGATATCATGTGAGAACTTTCACTCTACTGTCAAAAGAATTCTGCCAAGTCATTAAGATCATAAGAACCACAAGTAAGTCTGCCAGAAAACCCCACTTCTTTCTACTGAAAGCAGCAATGGTGAATTTAATAACTAACTTCTTACAGTGTTGAACTCCTCAATTTCATGATACTTTATTAGATTCAGACAATTTTATAGTGTCTAATGAACTGGAAATAGTGTTTTAATTGAGAGAAAACAAAAATTTATATATACTATTCAAAAAAAGTAGGGGATATTTGATTTTGGGGGCATAATACTAAAATATGCAAATGACTACGAAAAAAGTCACTATAGAACCTAACAGAAGAAACATTTCCAGTTACATGTGACGCCCAAACGCACCAATAGCTACCGCATGGAATGCAGGTGATGCTTGGGATCATCATGGGGGTCCAACCCAAGATTTGCACGACTCTGACTTTGAATGTTACAGTCATTGTGGCATTGAATTCCAGGGTGGAAACATCAGTTTAATTGTTTTAGTGACCAGAAAACAAATTTTGATATGCGTCGGCTTACCCAAAATGAAAGGTTACGTGCCCTTGGCATGCTACAGATCGGCACAACACAGGCGGTTGTGGCGCGGACGATGAATGTTTCTCAGTCTGTCATAAGCAGGCTATGGTCCAGATACCGTGATAAACAATCTGTACAGGACAGACCACGCTCAGGTCGACCAAGGGCGACAACTCAAGCCCAGGATCGATTTATCCGTACCTTGGCCTTGAGAAATCGTGTCATCACAGCAAATCAGATCAACGCTCGTCTTCAAACAGACACTGGTGTGAGAGTGAGTGGCCAGACGATTCGGAATCGACTGCATAGGGGTCACCTTCGCGCCCGACGTCCTCGCGTGATCCCTTGTTTGAGAGATCATCAAATTCAGGCAAGACGTCGTTGGTGTAGGGATCGTCAACACTGGGATAATCGACGCTGGAGCAATGTGATGTTTTCAGATGAGTCAAGGTTCACTGTTGATTTTTTGGACAGACGTAGGAGGGTGTGGCGTCGTCGAAACGAGCGCTTCCAAGACGTTAACGTCATCAGACATGATCGATTTGGGGGTGGTTCTGTTATGGTGTGGGGAGGCATCACTGTTGCTGGAAGAACGGCTTTACATGTTGTTGCAGGGCGTGTTACAGGCCAGTACTACCGGGACAACATCTTGGCAGTCCATGTTGTGCCGTTCGCACGACGTCATGGCCGCCGTTTCATCTTCCAGGATGACAACGCAAGATGTCACAGGGCCAGGATCGTTACAGGTTACCTCCAACAACAGAACATCACCACATTACCTTGGCCAGCACTGAGTCCCGACCTCTCCCCCATCGAGCATGTCTGGGACATGCTTGGACAGAGGTTACGTCAACGTCAACAACGTCCTGCCAATGTCCAAGAACTTGCTGCTGCGTTGCAACAGGAATGGGACAATCTGGACCAAAATGACCTTAGACGTCTCATTAGGAGTATGCCACGTCGGATCAATGCTTGTTTGGCAAACAGAGGAGGATTTACCCGTTACTGACTTGGTTGTGATGCTGTGGTAACTTTGCTGTTTGACCCCGGGTATCATTTTACCCTTATAATGGTCAGTCTGTGCCTTGCTTAGTCTAACGATCATTTGGAATAAATCGATGAATGTGAACTTCATTTCATTTTGTCATTTGTTTCTTCGTCAGTTTCATTAGGTGACTTTAATAACACTTAAAAATCAAATATCCCCTACTTTTTTTGAATAGTATATATTAACTACAATAGGAGATCTGACTGACCACCGACTCAGTATTATCAAAACTTACATTACTCTGAGCTACAGCAAAATGAAGAGCAGTAGAACCATTTGAATCCTGTTCATTTATATTTATCTCCTTATTTTTCTGTGAAAACATAATGAGTAATAAATTAATGTTAAAATTTAAAACAGAGATAGGTTGCCAGGCAAAAAAAAACATACACCAACAGCAGCTAAGTCGTCGGAAACATCCACAATGATTATCGGATAGTGGATCTTTAGATTAATGCAAAGAATAATCTATTGACTGTCTTCAATGACCTACCTCCAAATACCAATTTGGGGTTTATTTTCCGTGAACACCAAGATTGATATTTTTCCATTTACTGTTAAATGAATATTTTTACCTCCAAATACTCCTCAAAATGTTCAAATTTTCCTCTTTCACATGCTAGAAGAACTTGGTGAGATAGTTGAGTTTCAGGATTATGAATTGTTGTACTATTAAAACCACATTTAGACATTCTTATTCACTTATTTACAAACCTAAAACAACGAAAAATAAAAACTGATTTATAATGATAATAATTATCAAACTTAATAAAAATATGATGTACATGTATCGTTATTATGGCGTTAGCTTACGTGAAGGAACTATTAAACAGGCATTATGCAAGAGCTAAATCTGCCTATTGCAGGCCATTCTTTGGGCCTTAAATGTTATATAAACTATTAATTAGACATTTATTAACATGACTAGACCATAATCAATTCTTGATGCCATCAGATATGTGTCCGGTTTAAAGAACATTAGAATGGTTCAGCCATTTAATGATTTACCATTAGAATGGTCAATGGTGAAGTGGGGGGGTCGCTTAACTCCTAACAACCAGTACTGTGGTTATAATCAGTGCACACATCTTTTCAAACCTTCAAAGGTTAATATTTTCCCTCAGAATAAAGTAATTTGAAGGAAATTTTCAATATATTATCTATTTTTGAACTATCATATAATAGTCACATGTACAATTTTTAAATGTCATCGTAGACTCGATTGTCTAAATAGCGAAAATTAGTGAGTATTGCCACTGGTTGACAGAATCTAGAGTAGTGAACTTTGACCCCAATTTTTTAATTCCAACCTTTTTTCACCTTTTAAATCGACTGAAAGAGAATCGGTTTCAGGCGAGTTATTTGCCCTTGAATTAGTAATCGGATTCAGACCACATGGTAGTAACAGACTTAGACATTACACTTTGTCATATATGCCCACATTTTGTAAGAAATGAACAGAGAAAAAACCAAAAAACTAAAACGTGATTTTTCGTAAAATCAGGGGCCATAATCCAGGAAGTAACGATTCGATACGCGCAAGTATCAAGAGGAACCCAGATCTTTGGGATATAAACATATATTTTAAGTTTCATTCAATTCGGATATAAAATATGTGACCTCTACAGGGTTTGCGTACGAGGAGTGGCATTTTTGTCAGGTAGTTTCGGTCCGATTTTTATAAAATTCGAACTCAATCATCATTATAATGTAATGGTGATGAATACAAATGTTTTTTTTAAATCAGATAAAAATTGGGACCTCTAGAGGAACAACAAGCAAAAATCACGATTTTTCATACTTTCAAGGGACATAATCCAAAAAAATTACTGTTTGATATGCATGAATATCGCTTTTAAAGTTCCATCAAAATCAGATAAAAATTGTGACCTCTAGAGTGTCCACAAGCTAATATGTGATTTTTCATACAATCAAGGGTCATAATCCATGCTGTTACAGTCCGATAAATGCTAATATTTCAAGTTTCGTCAAAATCGAATAAAAATTTGTACTCTTAATGCATTAACATATCGTTAGGGTGAATACTTCACACCAAATTTGAATTTAAAAAACATTAAAAACTGTAGCTGCCATTGCGCTCGTTAACACACTCATAACTCAACATTAATCCAAGTTAACATATATAAGATGCTATTTTGAAGGCATCAATCTGTTTCAACTTGATAACTCAATTATAGTAAGGGATATATGCCATCTTGAATGTCAAAATAATGCTGAAGAAAACTTTCTCAAATCTTTGATGCTAAAACTAATCGAACGGACTTCCAAATTTCGAAAGAAAACGTCAGTCAAAATCCATATCGGATTTGTCCAAAGAATCCAAAAATGAACCCGACGAAGATCCAATGAGATATAACTGAGATATGGGCAATCTGAAATTATTTTTTGTCCCATCCGTAAAACACTTCCTTAGTCAATCAGATATCAACTTTAGCCTCTAGAGCGGCCACAAGATCTTTATACACACACATGTTCATGTAGACGTCTATTGTCGTTGCCCCTGTCCGTCCGTCCACAATTTGTTGGTGTACAGTCTACAGGTCACAGTTTTTATCCAATTTTGGCGAAACTTGAAATATAGGTTTATTTCCCAAAGATCTAGATCCCTTTCGATATTGGCATGTATCGGAATATATGTTTATATCCTTGCAGATATCGGAATTTAACATCCTGGATATAGCCCCTGATTGTACAAAAAATTTCATTTTTTTTTAACTTTCTCTTGAAAAATGTGGGTGTATCTTACATGGCAACCGCTTGTTCAAAGAGATTAAGGGCCATAACTCTGGCAGTAATTATTGTAAATCAACAGGCTTCTTCATCTCGGCCTTAAACAGAGTGTATAAATTTAGCCTATAGAGTGTCCACAAGATTTTTCAAAGTGATAAGTGCCATAACTCTGGCAGTAATTAAAGAAAATCGTTGAAAATTAATAGGCTTCGTCGTCTCATGACCTTAAACACTGTGTATAAATTTAAAGTCAATCAGATATTAACTTTAGCCTTTAAATATAGAGCATCCACAAGATTTTTTAATGTGTTCAGAACCATTATGGCAGTAATTATCGGAAATCATTGAAAATAAATAGAATTCTTCATTCTCATAACTTGTGGACGCCGGACGAACAGATGGGGTCGATGACAATATACCCACCACCTATCAATGTGGGCGTATAAAAAAGAAAATTTCAAATATTTTCCAGCCGTACACCATATGGACTAGTTTATTTAGTAACGAAGTAGAGAGGGCACTAGGGGTCTTCGTTACAAGTAACATACATGGACCTTATTTTTAGGGTCCAGCATGCGGAGGCTACCGGTACACCTTTTTGTTGTTTTATATTTGACTTTAAATCGGATTGCTCTTTAAGATGGGTGGGTCTATTTAAACTATTTTATTTTATCAATACAAAATAACACCCACAGTCCATGTAAGTAGCAGTACTAGGCCTACTCTAGTCAGTAGTACTAATTAATAGACTACTCTACTCTGTTCTGTAGAACCTGTAATACTGGTATGTACAATTAATTGCTTACAAATTTAGTCAATGTAATCGTAGTTGAAGACATTACATTCATTTAATGTCATCGGGTATTTTTATATAATTCATATCATTTTTGTATTTTCACCTTTTGTGGGTTTTCCAGGCAGTCATAGAGCTGCTACCAACAGCACCCGCTGTAAAATCGTTTGTCGTCGACTTCGAGGCGGGGATATGGCAGGCGCTAAGAACCGTCTTCGAAGATCCTTCGATTCAAGGTTGTGCCTTTCACTGGGGACAGGCCGTATGGCGAAAGGTGCAGGAAAAGGGTCAGAGCACATCTTGCCAGCATTTACCAAATTATGTGAGAAGACAGACAACGGGCAAGTCAGATTCGTGTTGGATTATGTAAGGGATACATGGATAGAGAGTAGAGTGTGGCCCATTTCATCATGGTGTGTATTCGGCCTCAGCATCAGGACGAATAACGATGTAGAAGGATGGCACAACCGGATTAACCAGAAGGCAAAAAAAGGAAACCTGCAATTTTACTTACTCATCAGCTTGCTGTACAAAGAAGCCAGTCTTCTACCGCAACAGATTAAAATGGTAACGGAGGGGAAGCTAAAGCGGTATCAAAAGAAACAGACCAGATCGATACAAGGAAAATTGTTTGCGCTTTGGAAGTCGTACACCGAAGAAAGAAAAAGTACGAGCCAGTTGATCAGAGACATCAAAAAATTTAAAAAATTATGTTAATAAAATTCAGAAGTATATAGTATATCCATATTAGTGTGTTATTTTTAACTTAAAATTTGTATTTTATTTCTTAAATTGAATGGTCCGAGAGGCAACAAATATTGGTCCGAGTGGTCTTCCAACGTAAATTGAATAGTCCGAGAGGCAACAAATATTGGTCCGAGTCTTCCAACGTAAATTGAATGGTCCGAGAGGCAACAAATATTGGTCCGAGTGGTCTTCCAACACAAATTGAATTGGTCCGAGTGGTCTTTTGGGTTGGTCCGAGTGGTCTTTTGGGTTGGTCCGAGTGGTCTTTTGGGTTGGTCCGAGTGGTCTCCGTTTTGGTCCGAGTGGTCTCCGTTTTGGTCCGAGTGGACTTGGTCCGAGTGGTCCGGGTACCGCTCAAACGTCTTCTGTAAACGGAAAATGGTGTGACATAAGGGAAGATACAGTAAACCCTTTACTCCTCATAATGAGAGACTGTGTAAAAACTGCAACCTTCAATTAGTAGAAGATGAAAAACATTTCTATTGTATTGTCCATTTTATGATAATTTGAGACAACAATATCTCTCACCCTTCATCAATCCTCATATAACTGATTCAATTCAACTTAATATATTAATGAATAATGAAGAGTGTATAGAAAATGTTGGAAGTTTTGTATTAAATGCCTTTATGAAAAGAGGAATATAAATATATCTTTGTTAATTGATAGTAGTTAGGGAGCCTGTTCAGCCATTTTTTTTGCGCGTGCGTGGGCGCATGCGCGTGCATGGATGTGCGTGCACGTGACCTTGCACGTGCATGACCCCGTGACCTTGCAGGTGCGTGACCTTGCACTGAATGACCCCGTGACCTAATTCGTCATGACCTTGCACTGAGTGACCCGTTGCACGTGCAGTGACCTAGTTTGAGAAAGAGAGGGCGCGCGCGCGCGGGAAGAGAGAGAGAGAGAGAGAGAGAGAGCAGAAGAAGAGAGCAGAAGGGAGAAGAAGAAGAAGAAGGGGAAGGAAGACCAAAAGAAGGGGAGACAACTCTTTTACATTGATTAAGTTGGCCCTGAAAAGGGCCGTTGGCCTCACTAGAACGTGAGGGTGCGACGCACTTTATGTCGGTTGCGTCTGATGGTCTCCACTAATTCGGGAGGGGGTCTTTTCCTGGGAGGTGTTTTTAATACCTCGTCAGGTAAGACAAAGATATCGTCAGGGGTAATCACGGCCAGAGTATTCCCTCTGAGATACAAGAGCGTATCTACGTTGAGGTTTTCCTCGAGGCGAATGATGGGAGCGCCGTTAGCCATTCTGATACTGAGAGAGGGATGGTCCGTCGTTTTATTACCGTTAGGACGAATCCATTTGACGGACGAGTCCATTCTTGGAGTGACGTCATAGGACGAATCCATTTGAGGGTATGGCGTCACAGACGAGTCCATGCATGGAGTGACGTCACAGCGCTTAGCATAACGTGATGCAACGTTATACATCGTAGGGTGTACGTTGGAGGCTAAATATAGACGTGATGTAACGTTATACAACGCATGTGCAACGTTATATCACGTGGGGTGTACGATATCGAACGTTTGATGACGTCACGGCATATGGGGGATAAAAGGGAGAGACGCGATAGGTTTGAACACTTTCATGCTATCACCGAACCGCGCAAGATGAGTTTTTCATTACGACCCGTCGATAGAAGATACAGTAGATTGTTCCGAACCGAATCGTTATGTGTGGACATAGACTTTTTGGAGGATTGGTCCCACGTTCCGACCATAGATGTACCACAGCAATTACACGACACCTTTGAGGCCATCATTGAGGAAATTCGCCGAACCTTGGACGCTAGAGAAAGTGACTACGTTAGAATAGCCATTAGTCACCCAGGGCTCAAATCACCTATTTGGTTACCGTTTCGTGAGCATCGTTTGTTAAAAGCCGAAGACCTTTTACAGAAAGTGGCTGCCGTATTACAGAGTAATGAAGAATTTCGACTGGATCAGCGCATGTCTATGAATATATGTCACGTGACCCTTCCGGATGGCAGAGGTAGCGGAACAAACGTGAAGAAGAGACACAGTGCTAATTTCGACGAGTATTTGAAGAAAAAGAAATGCCTCGTCACCATTAAAAATGCCGACGAATTATGTTTGCAGCGAGCTATTGTCGTCGCTCGTCACTATGCCAACAAACAGGACACGCCTGAATGGGAAAGAGAAAGGAAGAGATTAGTCAACAACACAGGACCCCGAACATGGCAGACGAAGAAAACGGAAGCTCTCATCGAGGCCGTGGGTGGCACCAGGGAAGCTTGCACGGGGATGGAAACGTGGGAACTGTATGCCAAGTATTTGGGCCAACAAGGATACCAACTCAACGTTTTCTCTCAAGTCATCTTTGGTAAGGCGATCTATCGCGGAACAAAACACGTCAACGGAACACCAAAACATCTGAACCTGTATTTACACAGTAGACATTATGACGTCATTACCTCCATGCCCGCCTTTGTGGAAAGGTCGTATTTTTGTGAGACCTGTCAGGTGGGATACTATAGTGCCGAGAAACATTCGTGTC